AAAGGCTTTACCGGTGACTTGTGGTCATGAAAAATTGGCTGGCCTTACTCCCCTGCGCCTACCTTGGTAAAGACAGACAGGAGCCAGACTATGTAAAAGGTAGCGTTAATATTAATAAAATGAACGTTGCTATAATATGACGGCAGTAGCAAAGAGAGATGTACTTCGGTTGAAGTTCAACTGGCTGTTTCTAGTCTTGGCTTCTACAGCGAGGGCTATCAATTACACGTGTGTCATACCCACCAATCACCAGTTCATCATCAACCCCACCACCAAGACTCTCAATATTACAAACGAGGTAACTTACGTGAAGGACACATTGTTAATAATTATATAGGAGCCTGGTTTGAGTGAATATAGTTGAAACATGAGTCTCCCCCACTACGGTGCATGCACACAGAAAGTCATATATACATTACTCCACCACTTTGTCTCAATTAATATTGATGGTAGTACATGGGGTAATTCATTTGTGGCACAAGTGGAGGTGTTGGAGACTACCACTCCTGCACAACTTCCACCAATGCTTGTGGCTCCCTGTGATAGCTAAAACCTAGGCCACTTTTATGCGTGAGGCATTAATGCTGCTCTAAGTAAACTGCTGGGAACAAGTTGCAAGCACTTACATAAGGAGAAGCATCTCAGTGGGTACAGTAAAGTCAAAATGGTGTTGGTTGTATGTTACTATGTCATATTCCTTTCTGGGGCTCCTTCTTCCCTCTAAAACATAGAGCCTGGCTTGGAACAGAGTGAAACATTCTACTCCCTCACCTATGTGGTGCTGTTTTCTACCTATACCATAGCAGCAATTGGTACTGGACTTCTCTTCAACCACGTACCAACCTGGTACCTGTTCATGTTCTCCACACTCTCTCATACTCTGGGCTACCTCCTGTATGCACTGGCCACCAATGGCTGGATGATGATACTGGCTCGTGGTCTGGCTGGTGTGCAGCTTGCTGCTAGTACATCCCTAGTGTTCGCCTACTGCTCTGTGAGCTTTGAGAAGTACACTGAGAATCTGAAGATACTTGGAAAATATGAGAAGAAAGAGGCAGAGAGAGTAAAGGGATATATTTTCAGCTTGTTCGTTGTCGGAAATATGCTGGGATGTGCAATTGGAATTGGTAAACTGTATATAGATCACACATAGAAGCTAGTTGGTTTGTTGCAGACATTTTCCACCTTCAGCCATTCCTTGTCCAATACTCCCTGCAGTTCTGTATTACATGCACCCTTACAAAGTCTATCAATCTACTACTTACAACCGCAAAGGAAGAGTGCATGCCATATCATTAGGGTGGGATTGTCAATTAAAATCATTATTTTCCTAGGTTTCACAGTAATCCTGACACAGTTTCCAAATACTCCTCAGTTCAGACCACCTGCGTGGTTCAGTGTAGCTGCTGGTGTAGCACTGCTACTGCTACAGTTTCTTCTCTTCCACGGAGAGAGTACCTGGCACTGCTCCAGAGGCCACTCAAAGAAAACGCTATCTATTAAAGGACACTGGTCTAAGAAAAATGCTACTTTCTGTCAGGTATTTGTATCCACACATTAGCTATGAAAACAGCTGTGCTTAGCACATTCTGCTATTAATAATAAGTACCATCTCCTGAAAACATGTCACTTTCTGTCAGTTACTGAATTCATTGTTCACAGGAAGATTTTCCTTAACTTGCTATGTTTGTACAAGGTACCACTTTATGTGATATTTGTTGGAGGGGTGAAAGGAGTACGTTGTATTTTGCCTGAAGGCTTGGTGAATCCAATCCTGAGTGATTCATTTGGGTTCTCTGATGAGAAAACTTCACTATTTCTCCTTATCATGGTCTTCAGTGCTCCTATTGGAACAACATTACTGTGGGTACAACTATAGCTAATTGACTAGCGAAGCTAGCCTCCTATAGTCATCTCAATGTGGGATTTTTCTTACTTGGGCACTACCACTGTACATACCAACATACCGAAATGTTTCCACTCGTGTTCACTCCCAAAAATGTGTTTGAGTGTAATTTGGGGGGTGGAAGTAGCCTACCTTTGTTGGCAACTGACGAAGTGTTTCCACACATACAGCTAATTGGCGGGAAAAGCGAGCTAACTTGGTCGACGGGCTCTGTGACAGGCACTGCACATACGGTAATCGGAATACTCGCGTTCGCTGGCCTTCTCGTGCCGAAACGGCGTGTGTCGTGCTCGCATATTTAGCAACCATCCAACTTTTTGCTTGATAATCAAGCAACAATACTGCCTCTCCCATCAGAAAATTTGCCAAATCCCTCTTTTTGTGCTTACCTGTGATGCACCATGCCTATACATTTTGAATTGACACACAGCATTTTCAAAGAAAAATATTCCAAATTCAGCAAATTTGACATATTCTTAAGCAAGGGTTCATCTGCAGGTTGGTAGGTATGTGCTCGAGCGAGCTCCTACCCTTGCTCAGCTACAGGTATATAGCTATTGAAGGAAACACCTTAAATTTCGTGTGACACTGCAAGGACTCGCATGCTACGGTGTAGGCACATGCGCGGCCTGGGGGGGTGGGGAGGGAACAAAGGCCTCGGAATTCATTAAATGTATGCGAGTGAAAGACCTTGGTTCTTAGGCTAGTTCGGTTTCCATTTTTATATGCTTTTCATTATACTGCAGTTACACACTTCAGTATTTCAAGGTCAATGGCTATTGTCTGACAGTGGTGGGACTGACATGTGCGATCACATCACTGCTGATAATGACAGACTGGCAGGCCATTGGCAGCAATCCCTGCACAGAGCACAGTCTGTTCCACCATCCACAACTGGCCGACCAGTACAGACTAGAGCTAGCAGAGTCTAACATCTCAGAGTCTGGGATGGTGAGTGTCCAGAGTCTGCAGGTGGTGGAGGGAGAGGTGTACCAGATGGCAGTCAACAGGTGTGAGTCTGCAGGGGAACACTGTCACTGGATACCCAACTCCCTAGTGACTGGCAAACACTGCAGTGACTGCCAGCCAATCTGTAGGAGTCCTAGACACACTCTCAACTTCGTCCAGTTCACTGTTGGTTTTTTCTTCCTCTCCACTGCATCACTAATGTATATTGGGGTGTTCATCTTGGTGGCAAACTCTGTGACCAAACAACTTCAGGTGCCTTACACTAATCTACAGTACATCACTGACGTGTTTTTTATTTGTAGGGAATAAGTGCTGGAGTGACCACAGCTCTGATGGGAGTTGCGAGAGGTGTTGTTCCTTTGATAAGTAAGCTGGCTATAATAAGGTTAATGTATGATACTGTAATTGTTATTGCAGTGGATGTTGTGTATGAGCATGTACAGAAGCAGACGTACCTGGTGATGCTGATTCAAGTGGGGTTGTTCCTGCCATTACTGATTGGATTGCTCCTCCTCTATCCCTGGCTGGCAGGGAGTCGTAAGTTGGACTACTCAAAAGAGAATCAGGACAAACAGAAGGAAGAGGAGGAGGAGACAACTGGACTAATGACAGAAAATGCAGAGCAGTAGACATGCTTGTTGCTTGTTGCTCTTGTCTTAGGAAAGAAACAAGGGTCCTTATCGCAGCAACACACACAAAGCTACATGCCGTCATCCGGTGTAATGTATATAGCTTGTGTGTCTTTGCCTGTGTAAGACCCTTGTTTCTTCGCTTTCTCGTACTTCGATATGATCCCCTTCGTTTTGAAAAAAATGATGTTTCTACTTGTTTAATTTATGTATACTTAAAATGGTTGGACTGCAAGTCATAGGAAACTATGTACGTGGATTATGAGGCCGAGGCCCTGGGGCTGTGGCATTCCGAGAGCAGAGAGAACGGGTCCGAGGCTTCCTAAATCGTGTGGTTCGTGTAAATCGTCGTCTAACTGTTTTAGAGTCAGTTGCATGCAAAACATGAGAAGATGCACCGAAGGCCCTGGGGGTGAATACAATAGCATTCCTCGATAATATTCCTCGTTCTACTTAGTGTTTCTCCTCATCCTACAGAGAAAACTACTCGGACTTGCTTTCTCCTAGTTGACCAATCAGATTTGAGTATTTCAAACGGCCATACTCTAAGTACAGCGCAGTGATGTAATGTAAAGAGCTTGTCCTTGAAGAAGTCTTATTACCTCATGAAGAGCTACGTGACTGCCTGACAGTACAGTGAACACTAGAAACTAGATTTTCAGTAGGATGGAATAAATATGGAAGCCTACAATAGCTATACAGCTATAGAGAGCCCCTCCATTTGCCACTGTTTGTGGCCCAGCTTGTTAGCTGACATTGTGTATATAATATAGTCAGAATTTGCCAATGAAACCAACTTTCAGAGCAATGTCATCCCTAATACTAGTTATGTTGTTGTGAGCTCCTCCCTTCTCTGTCACACTGACAACCCTCCAGCCAGTGGTGCCAAAGGATCAAGTAGCCAGGTAGATAGTGCTGTTGCTGTTCCAGGAGATACAGTAGACAGAAATTCAATGGTCGTGACTCGCGAGACAGAACTACGGTCAGTCAAACTCCTACGAAGAGATGATCTGGTGTGTGATTACCAGCAAGGCACAAGTGGAACAGATATACTTTTGCTGGACTCTTACTTTGAGGGCGGACGTGAGTAAAAGCAAAACGTCATGCCTTTTCTTAGGAGATATTGAAATTGTTGGGACAATGACAGTGACAGTGGATTCTGACCTCAATTGGGCCAGTCCTCCGTTCACCTTGGCCTGTATCTCCACTGGTGGACCTGTTACCACTGTCACTTGGACCAGAGACTCCACCACTTTCATTGAGGGAAACACGTCTGTGTTGGAGGACCCCGTGACTGCACACTACATCCTTAACAAATTAATAAGAAACTCTTTTCTCCTTTTATCTTACTGATATTGCTTCAACATTTATTTTTGTTGGTGATTTACTACCTTATCAAATTATTCATGTGAAATTGTGTGACTTAACTCAGCATGTATCTGAGTCTACTCATGTAGAGGGTGATCTTGTACATCATCCTGACATCATCATTGATGGTGGATATGCCACGCTGTAGCTGTCCCTCTTCGTCGTCTTTTTGCCTTTGTTTCAACACACTGCTCTTGAAAATATCGTATCTGCGCAAAGTAAACACTCACGTACACGTTACTGCCAGTAAATTCAACTTACTGTGTTGTCAGTCACCGAGGGCGAAGTTGTCAAGTGCTGTGCTAAATGGCAGAGTTACGAAATACACACGCTTACGCTCGAGGTTTACTTACACAGCAAAATCTATCAGGGGTTGCCTCCTGGACCGGCACAGGAAAACCCCAAGAAGACTAGGATTGAGATAGATATAGGTCTGTACACTCAAGGTCCAATTTTTACCTTTCCGCTAGGTGCTAATTTGCCTATTGGCTTGGCTTTCGCCATAACTTCTGAACGCGGCACTTTTACAAAAATCGCGATTTTAAAAATGAAACCAGTGTAGCACTGAACCCGTTGGTGACGCTATTTTACCTGTTTGTCGCGCGTGGTGGCAGAAAACGTGGTAACAAACGGACAGACGGACAGACCAAGTACTGTAACCCTCGCTGCGCATGCGCACCGAGGGTTAATAACACACAGTGGTAGATATAAGGAAGCACTATAAAATCACTGATACAAAACTACAAAAATTTTGTGTGAGGTTGTCAGAGCATGGTTACCACAACTTTCCCCTCTAGTGTATCCTTCTTCTCCAAAGCTCAGAAGGAGTACGAAGAGTGTGTTCGTAAGGCAGAAGAAACCAAAAAGGACGTGAAAAAGGTTACCAGCATTCAATCTATATAGGAGTAATGATTCCAACTATTATAGGCTAACAATTACTACTACTACTGTTCACAGGTCTGAGATGCAGATGTTGTTTGAGGAAATGACTCAACACATACAGCAGCAGAGTGACTCTCACAAGTACCTCGAGAAACTGAGGATTGAGAACGAGCGAACGGCTCTTCAGGAAAAAGACAGAAAAGTACTCTAATGCGCAACAGTATAGTCGAATGAAGCCAACACACTTTTGGCAAGCGAACGAGAACATTAACATTATACAGGTAGGCTTGCTTTGCTCATTGGTAAGCGAAGCAAGCCTATTTAGAATGTGGGATTTGGCTGGTAGATTTAGATAAAAGCAGATAAGCTAGCATGTTGTGAGCACATTTTTTACGGAGTAAACTATGAAATGTGCAGTTGAGGGACCTGAAGGGAGAGCTGGAGGCTCTGCAGCAGAGGAGAGCCCAGGATGAGGTCCTCATTGAATCACTCAACTTTGAGAACCAACTGATGAGAACTCAACTCAGAGAATCACATGCTAGGTAGTGTCCCACTCTGGGTAGCTATTATTCAAGCATTTATAACCCAAAACTGTTATTCTTTCATTTTCAGAGGTGGAGGGACCACTAGAAATGTTTTTCCTTTTCGGAGTGACTCAAAATTAGAAGACAAACTCCCTCCTATACACTAGAACACTATGAAAAATAATTGAGTAGATATATATGGTTGTCACTCTACATAATCACTTGTACATAATCAAACAAAAAGTTAGCTAATTATTGCAATAATTTCGTCTTATGTCCCCAGCAGTGTTTTTATCACGTATACGCTCAAAAGCATCAGCAAGAGAACCCCAAGTTTTAGTTTTCCCTACCCCCGCAATCCACTTTATAAATATTTCTGTGACAATGGGCTCTGTTTGTTTCTGATTATGTGCCACTATTGCTTGCATAAGTTTTCCACTTTCGTCATTGAGCAAGTGAACACCAAACGCAAAACATTTATCCCCTACAACTTGAGTGAGATTGACGAACTTGCCAGGTGACAAAGGCAGACTCAAAAGGAGAGGAAGAGTAACCTCTGTGTCACTTTCTTGACTTTCGATCGAAAGTGGAGGAAGAGTGATCTGTTTTTCTTGACTTTCGAATTTGGTAGGATCAACATGTACATCAAAAAGAGCGAATATCACTGTTATCACTACTATCCATTACCTTGAAATTTTCTTGAAACCTGTTAGGCTGTAGTTCGGGCCTAAGCCAGGTAAGAGTAACAACACACTTGAATGGCGAATCTTTTTTCCTAGGGTCAAGTTTATCAACTACTGTTTTTTCAAAAACAATACCACATGAACTGATTTCCCAGCATCTATCCCGGCTGGACTCTCCGCAATGGATTTCTAATTCTTTATTATTAAAATGGAACTCTGGGGAGGTTGTTACCCGCTTCAAAGTAGAAACATAATCCTTCTCCACCTTTTCTCGATAAATAGTGAGACAAGGTGTAATCATGGCAATCAATTCAAATATCAAGGAACCACATGCTTTTTTTTACAACCTTCATACCATGTATTGGAGTGTAAGTGTTTTATTTTTTGACTTTACAGTAAGCCCTCAGAGAGGGCCTAAAAAAATTATTCCACACTCATAGTGTGTCCTCCTCCACGGAAATCTTTAGTAAAAGGCGAAAGATTTATTCGCTCTGAAGGAAGACCAGAGTGAAGTGGAGCTCTGAGACCTGGGTTCTTATACTCTGTTCTCTACCATTCGCTTGTGGTTTTCAATGAATCTCATTACATGGTGGTTTCATGTTTCAACATCAGTGGTTTTCAATGTTAGCACCTTTCTTTATTTTTCTCTACCATTCGCTTGTGGTTTTTAATGAATCTCATCAACATTGGCACCTTACTGTGTGGTTGTTAGCACCAGATTGATACCTGGTGTCTCAGTGGTCAGCTATGATAGATTTGCTCTTGATTTTCACAATGAATAATAGGAGAGCCACCCTAGTCGTCTGAATTGAACAAGTTTTCTGTTTTGGCCTTACAAAAATGTGGCGTTCGTATGGTATAGCATTCGGAACTAATAGGCAGGATTGAATTGCGGCAAGTCTGAGGTCTTGAAACTGCACCATTCCATAACCTGCATTGTCTTTAATGGCCCATTCTAAGGCTTGCTTTCGGTAGGCTCTTTCATCTTCCCATAGCTGATTAGCTGCTACTTGATTTGGCATGCCTTTCGACTCATGGGGTATGTCACAGAGACATCCCAGCAATTGCCCTATTGTCAACGCCAGGGTGTTCAAGGTTAATGCCACTTTCCAACTACCGCCGCGGTTGGAACGACGCAGCTCTGGCAGACAAATACTACCCACTTCAAGAACGATTCTTGGGTGCCAGATCTTATTCTTAATGTCTTTCCTAAAAATAAACGGCCATATTTCCTGGCATTTTGTCCAGCTCCTTTAACCCTTTGGGCGCCATAGGTGTCTCCAATAAGCAGAAATTGATGTATATATAACATATTAGCGCCTAGTATTATAGCCATATATAAATTCTTATGCACTTATGGAGGCTCTTCGCATATATAATATAAATGGCACCCAAAAGGTTAAAGATGTTTTTTCCTGCGCTTAACTCTCATGAAAACTGGGATTTCCTTGCATATTGTAATCTTAAACAACACAAAAAGCAAATTATAATGATGAAAAAGTGATACAAAAATGTATGAAATAAGAGTGTTTGTTTTCTGGAATTGAGGTTGTAAATGGGAACTTCACTGTCAGATTCAAACATCGGTCCCTCTGAAGCAGGAGTTTTCACACCAAAGCTTCTGGAAATGGACATAGACACACATACAGTGTATAGCTACCATGTTTGCACAGACACACAACACAACCATTCTTTAAAAATGTACAAGAGTTCCCTCCTACCCACTATGGAACACACCCAAGATACTTGAAGGGCACATTTGGCGCCATACTGAACGCTCACTAAACCACAAAACCCAACAAACTTATGCCAGACTGACAGCCAAACGGCCACGACGTTGCGACAGACTGACAGCCGAACGGCCACAAAGCCCGACAAACGTTGCGACAGACTGACAGCCGAACGGCCACAAAGCCTAACAAACATCACGCCAGACTGACAGCTAAACAGAAAAGCCCGACAGCCTAATGTCAGACAGCTTCATGCACCAATATCTGCATGGCCAGCGTGCATATGTGGTACAAACTGTAGATATAATTATACCTATGTACAAACCCTGAAGGGAACTCCACCGAGACCCTGCCCAAGCTAGCACACACGCGCGGTAGGTGCATCGGAGCTGCAAAAAAAAAAAGATCCTATCCTAAAACGCAGTCTTCACACCTACTCTCGGCACTCGTGTGCGCCTGTCCAAATAAGGCCACGCCTACTCGATGCCGCGTCCCCCCCCCAAATGCCCCCGACTTCCGTGGCCTTAGACCTCCGTGGAACAGTGTCGTTGGGCTGTGAAGTCACCGAGTGTAGCGAGAGAAGTACATTGAGCTAGTCGGAACCTAGCCCTGGACCATCGCCGCCTTGGTTTGTAACAGCACCGACTTTGCCCTAGTAAGTGTACATTTTCCCTAGTACGAGAAAGAGCGCCGGCCTACATTCCGCTCCTGTTAGTTCTGTTGGAGAATGACACTTGTCAGACTATATTACTGGAAGCTTCTAGAACTTTCTTACAACTACAAGTAGCTTCCTGGACTAATAGTGTTAACATGATATCACTGCATCACACCTTACTTAGGGAGTTCTAGAACAGTCTAACCGTCCACATGCTACCATGTGCCTTTGCTAACATGTGCACATCATTCTAGAACATTCTGTTACAGTATATAAGAGCCGCACCATTTCACCACTTTGTCAGTATCAGTCACCTGTACTAACTACCATATATATTCAACTACGGATCTCAACTAGCGAAGTCGCTGCGGCGCAAGCAGTCCTGCTACTCTGCGACAGGTTATGGGCCCAGGATCACAGGCCTGAAAACCAGAATACCCACTGAAGACTCCGAAGGTTCTCTCGATTGAACTGTGCGGCGTCTGTTGGACTCTCGCTAGATATAAATCCCGCACTCAATATATATCCAGTGCAGGATTTATATATCCGGAGTGGGATATGCTATATCCAGTGCAGGATTTATATATCCAGTGCGGGATATGCTATATCCAGTCCGGGGTATGTATAATCCAGAAGGGATTTGTATAACCGGCGCGGATTTTACAAATGAAGCGCGGGATAACATAAAACAGCTATTGCAAAATTGAGACAGACGGCGCCCCATACACGCTGGGTCCGTACACTCCAGTTGATCCCTCGGCACTTCTGTCTCTCACACAACCAGACCCTGCTCCAGCACACGCTCGAGGTAGGCGAAAGCTACAAAATGAAAAGTAAGACGCATAGCTAAAAGCAATCCTAGCACAAAGAGACAAAGTACAAACCGAGAAGGGCAAAGATCGGCCCTCATCGGCTGTATGCAGTCGGCCATAAGTTTCAGGGAAGGGGTAAAAGAAGCTTTCCGGTGGCACCCCGTCGATATCTTATTCGGTGCACGTGAGCATCACGAGCAGATCACGCGTCGCTTAGTCAGCCGATTCTCTCCTCCTCTTATCGCGCGAAAACCCACAGGCGGACCCAAGTTGCTTTTCGCTCCTGGATATCTGCCGCAGCTTGCCTGCTTTGTGACAGAACCCTGTCGTACACCTACCGCTAAGAATTTGGGCAAAAAACCAACTCCGTTTGATGAGTTTTCGTCGCGGGCAGAACGGTCACGAGTCCTTGTTTTGCGACAAGTGAGTGCTAAACGTAGGTGATAAGCATATTTAGCCTGGCCAACCTCGGACACTGGTAAGCCCTGGTTTATGCCTGTGCGCATGAAAGGCTCTGAAATGTGAAATTTAGCTGGCCGACTACGTCCGAGAAATCGGGACAAGCAAGGTGATTGGCGGGACAAGGCTGTGAAAATCGGTACTGTCCCGCCTAATTCAGGATAGTTGAGACCTATATATGAGCAAGCCGAGGTGAGCTAGCCAGCATACTGCGTCTAATACACGCATGCGCACCGCTTATTGATGGGTTGGGCCACCCAACGCTGTCCGCGACTGTGTCAGTTTGTCGCTCTCGAATGCAGTCATTTCAGCCATTTTATTCTTCTAGCCCATGTACCGCTGAAGCTGTTGGTATCGCTCATAAGCCGCCTCGTAGCCTGTAGTGCGAGAATAGTCGTAGACAGGCACACAGACACAGAACGACTACCATAACACTCGCTGCGCATGCGCGCCGAGGGTTAATGACAACAGTTGGATATGCAGTAGTTATTACCCGTTGCTAGGTCGTTGCTATGTTTATTTTAGCACAATAAATCAGCTACCCACCCAAGAGGGTGAAAAGGTGAGAATATCCACTGTGGTTAAAGTAAATAACTAAGGAATGGTGTGAATATCCACTGTGGTTAGGGTTGGGTATCAATGTTTTTAGCTATGTACAAACTCTGACAGATCGAGGATGGATCGAATGGCAGAGGCTTTCCGTTTGGAAGTCGAGGGTTGGGATTCTGAGACGTCGCGGCAAGACTCCGCGTCCGAGAGTAGCGCTCCTGGGGACGGGCCGTCTTCATTGAAAAGGCGTAGGCTCTCGCTATCTCCACAAGAAAGAGGGCTACGTGCACTACTTCACAGCTACAGAGAGGTTTGCACGTAGCCCTCTTTCTTGTCAGAGATAGCGAGAGCCTACGCCTTTTCGATGCCGGCGGCCCGTCCCCAGGAGCGCTACTCTCGGACGCGGAGTCTTGCAGCGACGTCTCAGAATCCCAACCCTCGACTTCCAAACGGAAAGCCTCTGCCATTCGCTCCCTAGATCGCTCTCTCGATCTGTCAGCGTCGTCCGTGTCTTTGCCTGGCTGAGCCGGCCAGCCGCGTATTAATAGAACGGCACGTTTTGCGCAGGTTCACGCGCATCGCCTTATTTGGGTGAATGCGCCATTATCGCGCGTGGTATCCCCAGCAACGACCAATCAACGGTAATAAGCATTTTATTACACCTTTTGTCCTGGTGTTGCGGTTTATGCGCCCTCCCCCTCGGGCGCTACGCGCCCTCGTGGAGTCGGGCGGATATACACAAGCAACACCACTCCAAAAGGTGTAATAACATATACTTGTTGACGCTCGAACGACACAATGTTGATCCTCAAAGCGCAAACCCCAGCTGTCAACAAGCCTTGGTCCCTCGTCAGGATGTTTTCCCTGCGCACCTCTCGTCTGCTAACACTACAACTCAGGCCGGGCGCCTTCACTCTGACTAAACCTATACGTGGCATCACGGTCTCCCCAACCCTCCAGAATCCAACGCTCAAACAAATCAGTCTTGTCGCCGGAAGCTTCGGCAGCATCGCCACCGTGATCGGCAGCATCGCCGCCGTGTTTGCTATGTGGACGGCACACAAAGAGTACAAACGATGGTTTGGCACGGGGCTCCAAGACGACCTCAACCGGAAGATCCTCGAGTCAACCTACCCAGCGAAAACCAAGAAACCAGGCTCTCTGTGCATCGCAAGGGATGGCCTGCCCGACGTCGTGAAAATTATCTCCGCCAAGGAAAAGCAGAAGACAGTGATTGTTTGTGGCCCGCGCGGAAGTGGAAAGACGGCAGCAGTCAAGGAGACTCTGGAAGGCAAGAAGGGGGTCGTGGTTGCAACACTTACAGGCGAGAGTCAAAAGCTTGCTCGTGCCATCACCGAGTCTTTGGGGCTACCCACAAACGAGCAAGTGAACCACACCGAGGTTGTGGTGAATGCACTGAAGAAAATCCGCGAGAAGCCGAGGTATGCAGGCTTGGAGCACCCCCCTGTTCTTGTAGTGAAGGTGAACGAGCGGTTCACGTCGTCGAAAGCTCTTGAGGAGCTGGCTCTCACGCTGAAAGACTGGGGACACGATGAGGACCTCGTGCGTCCCATCGTGGTACTGTCGACATCACGAGCTGCCATGGGGTTGGGTAGGGGTATGGACGAACTGAGGGCTGAGTTTGCCAGCGTTGGTGACTTAGATCGCGAGGAGGCCAAGCGGTACATTGAGCAGTTGTGCAGGGAGTTGAAATTGGAGGGTGCTAATGACAACGCTGCTGTTTCCAAGTATGCCGAGCAAGTGGTACAAATCTTAGGCTCTCGGCTGCTGCACCTGGATAGTTTTGCAGACCAAGTAAGGTTTTTCAAGAACGAAAGCGACAAGCAGCAGCAGCAGGTGTCTTTGAAAGCTGTGGTGCAGTTGGCAACTGAACACGAGACCAGCAAGCTCAAGGACAGCAGGAGAGCCTTGAAACAGTTTCACAAGCGCTTCCCAAATGTAAACAAGAAGGATTTTTATGGGATCTTCAAGGAGCCTGGAGCGGCGGTGGACGTGGATGAGTTCAGTGAGATGGTCGATGAGGATGTGCGCACTGTTCTCGACGGCATCTCTAACATACAGCCACACCCCTTCTACGTGGACCCGAAAACACAGACAGTCAGGGTTGGGTCGGTCTTCGTCCAGAAGGTGATCGACACAGATAGTGCCAAACTTAAGAAGAGCAGCAGGTGGTGGTTTTGGTGACAGTTGGTCTCGATCTGTGTGTAACGTATTTCAATGTTGTAGTGTTTCAGATTATATTTTGTGTACCTACTACTTTTGTTTGCTACGTGCCTAGACACTATTATATACCTGTATCTGAAGCCACAGTTACGCATGCATCTGAGTGTGCATTTAGTCTGTGCTACTTGTGGATATCCCTAAGCAACCGACATGTATGAATCTACATACTGGGGAGTTTTATGAGCGTATACATACTATCCTGTGCAATGTAAGGTGGGTTCATACATGTCGGTTGCTAGGGATATCCATAATTATTGCAGTGCTGTCCTGTCTGGGCACTGCAACGAATCTCATTACTTCAGAACCACAAGTGCTGCGCTCCTGGTATATAGCATTTATAAACTGGTGATGCCAGAGAGAGAAGTTGCTGTGTGCTCTGCTGATGAGGGCCAACAAGCCAGAAACAGCTGTCCCAGAGCTCCCCATCTTTTCTTTTGGCATCACATGGTCTTTCATGTTACCCCATGAGGTATAAATTGGCTTGTAGTAACACCCACTTAGCACCATTAGGGAACACTCAATGACATCATTCATACCCAATATGCACCAGAGATTTACTGCACTCTGATTAGTGCACTCTGACCTCTGCAATGCACTGCATATATAAGACTGGCGCAACTAGACAATTGTTGCATAATAATATGCCATTATCATAGCCTAGCCTCTTTGCCGTATGAATGTGTGATATCCCCCCCCCCCCCTTCACCCCCAAAGTGAATCTATTCATTCACCAGATGGTCACATTCTAACACGGTTTACATATGCTGAGAAACCCACCCAGAATGATATGTTTTTTCTTTAACTCATTAGGTCACAAAAAGACTGTGCGTAGGTCTGTAAACCGGCAGGGAGAAAGATCGCCACAGTGCACGTGCACAGCATGAAAGGGAAAGGGGTGTGTCAATTTGGGCAAAATGATGCATGCGTGCAGGAGAGTTGCGAGAAAAAAAACACTGATTGAGCTCAGAAACCGAATTCGTGTCTGAAAGGGATACATACAGGTTGTGATCGTAATGCTTTACGTGATGCTCGAAATGTGCAAAAATTAACTGTTCACTTCACTGACACTCACCCAAAATTTGTTGCACTTGTCCTAGTTATGCATATGGAAAACCATGCATTGAGACGAAATAAGTAGACTTGTTTCACTTACCACAGTACAGATGATGTGATTGAATAATCTTCTCACTAACTATTCAATAACAGGGCACTACTGTGGGGCAAGATGCTTTTTTCATAGGCACAATGTCTCTCACAGATATATATTAGCTCCCACAATTTCGAGACAATATAAACTGCAGAAAGTTTAATGTGAGCTTAAGGTGACGAAAAAATTCCACAAGAAAATAGATTTTCTTTGCGATAAAATTGGTGAGAGAAAACAGCCAAAAACAGTGCACCGGCAACTAACATTGCACACCAAGACAGACACAGAGAGAGAAAGAGTAGAGGAGTCATAACTGAGGGTGTTGAAGGAGCCTGGAGTGGCGGTGGACGTGGATGAGTTCAATAAGATGGTCGGTGAGGATTTGCCCACTGTTCTCAACCGCCTCTCTGACATACAGCCACACCCCTTCTACGTGGACCCGAAAATACAGACAGTCGTGGTTGACAGTCGTTGAAAACTCATTCATGAAATTCAGATATGTTCATTAAAGCATGAATAATAATTAATGTGAAACATTGTCATAGACCATTATTATGCACACACATGTAGAGACTGGCCTCTCTCGTGAAAGAGGGAGTGTAGAGCACAGCTGACAGAGAGACAGGAGTGTATTACAAGTTTAGAGGCTGAGAGAGATGAGCTGAAACATACTCTAGGTGAAATATCAGCTTCGGTGGAAGAGGAGTACAAGAGGAGGAGCTCACTTGAAGTACGTGTTGATATACTTACAGTTAAATTTACACTGCTCTTCTGCATTTTAGGTACTTGTGACTCACACTAACCAGCAGCTTTCAGAAATGAAACAGACTGTAAGACAGTGCGAGAGAGAGGCACACAGGGACCTGGAAATGCTAAGGTATAATGAATTCAACCTTGGGTGAAGTTTCAATTACCGGATGCAGGACAGAGCATAAGAACCAAATGAAGGTAAAAATGGCACAGCTTGAGCAGCTAGAAACTACTGTGTAAGTAACTTTAAAAGACAACTTGTAGATACTTTTTTCACAAACATGTCCTCGAACATTACACTGAACGACAGTCGGAACCTGCAGAGGAGAGAGAAGATGGCAAAGGAGGATCTGGAGAGATGCAGAGAGTCTGCAGAGACCCAGCGACTAGAGCTGGAAACCAGACTGACAGAGGTGGACAAGACACTGGCTGACGAGAGACACAATAGCAGCTCTCTCACTCAAGAGTAAGTTTACTCTGCCTTTTCGTCATGTATGTCCATCACATACATGAATGCTCATAAAACTGCTCACCTACCTTCTAGAAACAGGTCTTTAAAAATCAAGCTCGGAGATCTTCAGAGCAAAGTGGTAGAACTCACTAAAGCTCAGAAGGAGTACCAAGAGTGTGTTAGTAAGGCAGAAGAAACCAAAAAGTACGTGAAAAAGTTACCAGCAATCAATCTAGAAAGAATGACTCATTTCAACTCATGTATGGTTATAACTGTGATTGGCTAACTACAATTACTACTGTTCGCAGGTCTGAGATGCAGATGTTGTTTGAGGAAATGACTCAACACATACAGCAGCAGAGTGACTCTCACAAGTACGTCGGAGAAACTGAGGATTGAGAACGAGCGAACGGCTCTTCAGGAAAAAGACAGAAAAGTACTCTAATGCGCAACAGTATAGTCGAATGAAGCCAACACACTTTTGGCAAGCGAACGAGAACATTAACATTATACAGGTAGGCTTGCTTTGCTCATTGGTGAGCGAAGCAAGCCTATTAAGAATGTGGGATTTGGCTGGTAGATTTAGATAAGAGTAGATAAGCTAGCATGTTGTGAGCACATTATTTACAAAGCAAACTATGAACTGTGCAGATGAAGGACCTGAAGGGAGAGTTGGAGGCTCTGCAGTAGAGGAGATCTCAGAATGAGGTCCTCATTGAGTCACTCAACTTTGAGAACCAACTGATGAGAACTCAACTCAGAGAATCACATGCCAGGTAGTGTCCAACTCAGTTTAGCAACTCCACTTGCATTTGTCTCTTGAAACTTGTTTATCTCACATTTTCAGAGGTGGAGCGACCACTAGAAGAGCTTTCCCTTTGCTTAGTGACTCAAAATTAAAAGATAAACTCCCTCCCATACACTAAAACACTTCAACAAAATATTTTAGAGACAGTTTCTTTATTGTTTTAACCCTCATCACTGAGGAAGTGAACACCAAATGCAAAGCATCTATCTCCTACTATATGGTTGAGTGAGATTGACGTGCTAGCAACATGACAAGGGCAGTTTTAATATCAGAGGAAGAAGTGTCCATCAACATACAAAAGCTGATATCACTTTCATCACTAGAGGAATGCAATGCATTGTTGGCGAGCGAGTGCAATAAGCTCAGTAATAGTTCGCATGGGTTTTGTGTGCATTGTTGAACATTACGGTAGTGCAGTGCCCGTGACACATAGAAATTCCCCTATTGAAACGACTAGGTAGGTTCACTTCGCTCACCAATGAGATACTCCAATGGAGATAGGCTTTAAGAATATAGGGACCTAAGCGAAGATGCTGAAAACCGATTTTACACAGAGGTAGGTTGCACTGTCGAAAAAAAGCACGTAAAAACATTCTCCGGACTTTTGACCCTTTTTGCATTAATACAGTCACCATTCAAGGTGGTGTGCCGCGAAGAATGCAAGTTGGGTGATAAAAGTGGAGATGCTGGGTTTTGAACCCAGGACCTCCTGCATGCAAAGCAGGCGCTCTACCACTGAGCTACATCCCCGGCTGCACATGCTAACTGTCTCAGATAGCTATAGCGTCCAAGAAAACAAGGATTCAAACATTACGAACTCTCCGTTATCATTACGTATTCTATATATTCACGTGCATTGTACGCATGGTCATGTCATTAAAAGTCAAATCTAAATTTGAGAGACCAAGGCATCCGTTATAATCAGGCGTGCAGTATGATAGATCAGACCCTAGACAGTTTGACAAGCGTTTCCAATGACTGCGTTACAAACATCATCGAGCAGCTTTGTGTCAGTACCTGCCTGATAGCGGCCAAAGCCGTGAAATGGAATTGTATATATATATCACAACAATTATAACTGCGTACATGAGCAATACAGTTTGTTTCTCAGAGACTATCACAATACACACGTCTTAAATGCTTTTACAAAAGTACTTGTGTACAGCCCGAGATTATATACACGTGAAGCAAGGTCACGCTAATTATCATGTACGAAAATGAGAATACAGGTTCTGCATCAAAGCAAAAGGCATTGTCCAACATTTTGGTCGATATTAGCATGGTACACTGAATTGGTAAATTCAGAGGCAGGTTTTCTTAGGAATTAGTATAAACACATGATGGTGTGCATCTAAAGTAAAATGAACTACACAGTAAGAACTTACTGATACAAAAAAAAAAAAAAAAAAAAAAAAAAAAAAATGTGTGAGGTTGTCAGGGCATGGTGACCACAACTTTCCCCCTAGTATGTCCTTCTTCGACGTGCTGATGGGCAGCAACTATCTCATCAAGACCGTACACCGCATCAATGACTGGTTTAATCTCTCCTCTGTCGACCATCTCCGAGACAACTTCGAGAATCTTTCCACTGGGATTGGCAGTCGAGTAATAGAACCCTCGCCCACCCAAAATCCTGTTCGTGATGATCTTGAAGCAATAGAACCACGAGTACGCAATAGCACCCAGAATTGGTGGGAAACTTGGAGAGAAATGTGACTTTGGGGGTGACTATTGTAACATAGCTGGCACCATCATACATTTTGAGCACTTTAAGTGAGCGACGCTCGTAGCCAGATCTGCCAATGGTGTCTAACACCACATCGTAATATTGGATTTCTCGAGTGAAATCACTTGTTTTGTAATCAATCACTTTGTCGGCCCCAAGACTGCGTGCCAAGGATGCATTCTCAGCTGAGCATGTAACAGCAACTGTGGCACCCCAGGCCTTCAGGAGCTGGACAGCGAACGACCCAACACCACCAGTCCCCCCATGAACTAACACTTTCTTCCCACGAGTGTTGGTGCGGCTGAGACCAACATTCTCGACCAGCGCTGAGTAAGCCGTTGCAGCTACAAACGGAATGGATGCAGCTTCTCTGTGGTCGATGGTCTTGGGCTTAAGAGCAGCTGATTCTGCAGACACAACAGCGAACTGAGCGTATGTCCCTCCCGAAAACCCACTCAGCGCATAGACCTCATCCCCCGAAACAAACTTTGTAACGTTGTCGCCCACTGCAATGACTTCTCCTGAACAATCACGACCGAGGAGAATGGGGAACATGGAAGTTCCCTTTAAACGAGCTACTCTGTTCAAAAGTGAGGCAATGTAGCCTCTGCGAATTTTGACATCGATTGGATTAACTGAAACAGCGCGAACACGTATCAAAATGTCGTCCTCGCGAAATTTTTGGGTAAACCTAGAATCGACTTGAAACACGTCCTCAGCATTGCCAAAGGCATTTATCACTGCAGCCTTGTGTCGGCCTGTACTTTCTTCCGTGATCTGTGGTGTGGTTTTGCGTCGTCGCAAGAACCAAAACAACCCCAAACCTACACCCAACGATGCTTTGAAATCGAGGCTGGCGTACTTATGAAGAAGGCTACCGATACCGCTAGCCAAAATAATATCGAGGACAAACGAGGCAGACTGAGAAGACGGTTTCTGCGGGTGAAAAGGTGAAAGTCTTTGTGGTGGGCAATCACCTAAAACAATGGAAACAATACGCCTGGCTTCGTGAGCACTTGGCTGTATATCAGAGCGCCAACAGATGACCCCATCAGGTCGAACCAGGAAATACTTGCGATCATAGAGAGCAACAAGCTCTGTAAACTTTGAAAATGCGTGAGTTGAAAACGGCACATTACGCTTCTCCAGTTCATGCCTGAGCTGTACGCAGTCCGTCTTCTGCCCACCTATCACCAACAGCACAAAGCCGTTTCCAAAAAGATCAAGGATCGTTTCCTGGTCTGGCAAAGCAACATGGGGGGCACGTTGACCAGGAAATGATGTGGGGACATATTTTTCAGTGGTGATACTAAGATACTGCTTTCCATTAGGATTGTGCTCATGGACAACCACATTCGAATTGGGATACTCTAACCCAAATACATACTTTTGGCCTGCTGCTAGGCGGGAATCCAATGCAGGGTTTAAAAACTTGCGCAGAATAGAAGTAATTATTGGGCTTGAGAGGATAATGCCAGTAAGTACTGATGAGTTGCCGCCACCACCGGCAGTTCGGGCCAATGCCATTGCATAACGCCGTGTAAGGTCGCACACTGGCTTGCGTTCAACCTCATATGACTTTAGGAGCTGTGGCCCCCCATAGCCCTTCAGCACGGCCGCTATCTTCCACGTCAAGTTGAAGACATCGCCTATGCCAGTATTCAGCCCAAGACCCCCAGCGGGCACCCACTGGTGTGCGCTATCACCAGCAAAGAAACAGCGGCCGACACCAAACTCCGTTGTAACTAAGCCATGCATACTGTATGCAGAAACAACGGATATGGTGTGTGCAACCCTTTCGCCTAAAATCATGTTGATATATCGACTCGGATTACTAACAATATCATTTACTTTCTCATCCGTGGTACCACGTGGTAGGACAATGTGAGTGGCAAACTCGCCTTTAACCTTCACATTAACAAGCACAGCAAAGAATTGCTGGTTAATGACAATAAAAAGACCGGGCCCCGTAATCTGCTGAATCCTGTCAAAAACCTCATTGCTTCTTATCATAATGCTTACAGCCCGAGCAAATACAAAATCCCCATAGGTATGAACATTGAGTAGCCTTCGTAGGGGGCTCCTACCCCCATCGCAAGCAACGACAAACTTAGCCCGAATCTGCTTCTCTCGCCGATCCTCTCCCTCCCCACTGACTATGGTGAGGGTTGCTCCGTTTGCATCCTGCTCGAGATTTGCAACCTCCCACCCCCAAAGCATGGAGACGTTTTCCTTCCCGTCCAGATGCTCTCTAAGTGCAGGCTCTAACGATGTCTGGGGGCACATAAGAGGCGCACTAGCAGACATTCCTTCCTTGTAAAACAAAAACTTGCAACCCGGTTTTTTATCGACTATATCACCCCAGGATGATATTTTGTTAAGCACAAGGCTGTTGCCGTTCAAAACCTGATTACATATCCTAATGGTAACCTGCTGATCACGTGCCCAGGCTGCATTCTGGACCAGTTTCTCAAGTCCAATCTGCCGGTAATGCTCAATTGAACGACCAGACAGAAACTGTGCCTTTGCCAGCACCGAAATCGCGGTTTTCTTCTCAACGACTATGGTTTTGATCCCATGATAGTTGAGGGAGGCAGCCGTTGTTAGACCCACGGGACCCCCACCTACCACAACCACCTCAGTCTCCTCCACTGGGGAAGACATCCACCCCACTGCTCGTGTACAGCTTCCAATCAATGCCCTCTTCCTGCCAGACAGGATTGATTAGGTCGTAGTTCCTGTCAAAGGAGTGATAGTGGTTACATAGGACAATTGTATTCACTGCTACACGGTGCAAACTTTATGCACCGTGTAGACCTGCATGCAATAAGCATAACAAACGGCCCTTCTACAAACCATACCTCGGTTGCGTATGTAGGACCACAAAACGAAAATCGGGCCCCGCTCTCACCTATAATCTTGCCTGCCGCTCCTTGCAAGGAACGCCGACCCTCTCTTCGTCTGAACTCTGTCTCTGTTCGCCAAACAAGCAGATCAGCCAGCGAGACTTGGGCGGTTTTATAGATATATAAGAGTCGCCGACAACACTGCGCATGCGTAATAGTGATGGACAAGATTGCGCATGCTCACTTGTAATTGTGAGTCTGAATCATTCACTTCTTCCTTCACCACTGGCTTTGTGGTGGCGCGAGGAAGAGTGCGACTGTAGCCATTTCCCATCCAATCCAAGCGGCAATCAAGTCTCGACCCACGCCTAATTCTACTCTGTGCTGTTTGGAGTGGACTGTTCACTCTGACAAGGATGCATCCCATGTTCTATCCACATTATCTTAGATGAGGTCTCAGTCTTTCGCCAGTCGCCATCAGATCACCAGATACCAGCATGGAGCATACATTCGACGATTGCCCACACACCCTATAGGTTGCTTCCCATAGCTAGCAGTGTAACCATCTATGGCATTCAGCAGTACTATTAACTGACTCTGATCTGAGGACACGTTGAGTTGGACTAGGGAGCAGATGCTGTGTTCAAATAATATTATGTAGGTCAGGCACATGATCAAGTTTTGGCCCGAAGAGCAGGAAACCAACATGCAGATAGATGGGGCCATGCATAAACAACTCCGAATGAGCTAGCTATAACTGCAGTCACACACAGCACTGTCATCTCCAGCATGCACTTCATTAGCATAATATTGGCTTCTTCTCTTGCTTTTCTAGCCAAAACTTACTGTGCCTGACCAAATTTTGAAAAACTGGAAGTCCATATCTCATGTTTATATTGGACCCAGCAGCCAACACGCTCAGTAACACAAAGCAGTGAACAAAATTGTTTTTGGATGCAAAATTCTTTGCAAGAGTATGAAACTATTGCAGATAAACAAACGTTAACTAAGTGTAGAGTATCATGTAACTAGTAACTTTGTACAGAAACATCCTAGAGTGTCATAAAAAGTCTAAACACTAGGTATAGGTATAGCTACAGTTGAAGGTGTCATACACTGCTGCATATCTTGAGACAGCTATTGTGGAGGGAACTTGGGCACTACTTGTGTGTAGTAGCCAACGATCTGGGCCCCGGGGATGGAGACCCTCAGACCATCACTGGTGCTCTCGGCAGAAAAGGTTTTCATGGACCGTGAAGACTGGTGGCTCCCAGAGACACTTGCACTGACGCTCCAGAAACCACATCCATAACTACCGCCGAAACTGTAACTGGTGCTAGAGGCAGAATGAACAGCGTGGGCCGACTGAGAGGCTGAGATCCCCTTGAATTCAAGATTTATGTTCCTGGAGAGCAGGAGACCAGTCACGTACTCGGGGAGGAGGTAGTTGGCCCCCGGCTCAGTGACAGTTTTGATGTACTTGTCCTCTCCAGGAAGTTGTCCAGGAGACACACGGGCTGAGTCATCCGACTACAACAAAAAAAGGCACTTACATTATAACTAAAAGCTAGTGTTTCGAAGTGAAGGTATATACTACATTAAACTTGTGTTTCCCAATGCGACAGGGCATTGTGAAGTGACTATTATATAGTTTAATACCTTAATCTGGAATTGCTTGCTCTTGAAAACAGAAGGCCGGAACCATGGTCTCTGTATGGTTACCCGTAGCAACTGTCCACTGACCAATGTATGGGCACTATTCATTGTTGCTGAGAAGCTGGACTCCTTGCGGGAACGAGAATGACTAACTGACCCTCTTGCACTCCAAAATGTTCCACTAGCTCTGAAACTGGCTGCAACATGAGAGGATTTTGCCGAGGCAGCAGAGAAAGAACTGGAAGTATCTTTTTTAGAATCAAAGGAGAAAGAGAGCCATTTGGAGTCGAGCTGTTCCTGGGAGTCAGCTACATGCTTGGCATCACGAGCGAGGTGAGAGAACTTGATGTCTGTTTTAGCCAGTCGCTGCTTGAGGGCCTTGATTTCATCATCAATCGCAATGGCAGTTTCGTTGAGTGCTTCCCGAGTCAGTTGGTATGAGTTGACCTGATAGTCAATGTCATGTACACTAGCATACAGCTCTGTGTTATCAGACACAGTATCGAATGCCTCTCCAGTAGCACTTGCATACTGCTGGCAATCTTTCGTTTCAAGCGAGCTTTTGGTGTTTTTGGCTCTAATTCGACTAATAAGACATTTTTGTCGCAATTCCTCGGTGTCATTTGCAAATTTACTCAACCGTGCATTAGATATATCCAGGGATGCCTCCAGGACAGAAAACTCTTTGCTAAGCTCAGCTGAAGGTTCCTCAGTTTGGAGGGCTAGAAGGATCTTCTTACGTCCTTCTAGGTCTCCAATTTTGACCAGAATCTCATCTCGGGACTCCATTTGAATCTCTTGTCGCTTCTGTTGAGCCTCATCCCTGTAAGAGAGATAGGAATTCCGAATTCCAAACCAGAGACACCAGGCAAATATTTCTGGGTCCACCCACAACGTAACGTCGTTTGCGTTCACACCTTGCTGCTGTCGGGTCGTGTTCACGCGCAACGCAACAAAAGTATGCAATTACGAATACGCACCCAAGTTAGACGGCGCGCTGAGCTATTAGGGCTGCCTCCTGGCTTTTTATGCGCTTATTGCTGGGAGCGCTGGCACCCTAAGCGCGCTTTTCGCCACTTCTCTGGCTGGCTCTCGCTTCTGGGGCGGCAAAAAAGAGACTGACGGGCGCACGCGCGCACGAGCGTCCGGCTACCGCGCGAGCATACGGCTCCGTCACCGAGAAATTCTGTGCCTGCCGAAACTAGTAAAATACCGGACAACCAAAAATGGGAGCTGCTAGAGCAAGCGTTGTTAGTGCTGCGGTCATGCAGGATGACGGTGAGTGGAACAGTCTGTAGCTCGCCTACTAGCAATCTCTTTTAAAAATGTACACCGGAGCTTAGGCAATCCCGGTTCTTCTTTCACCAGCCACAGAAGGTGCTCACGATAGATAACTGACACGGTGGGTTCGTTGAAAGGGATAACTTACTGCTTTCGTCCGTAGCGTACGAAGCGATATGTGTGGAGCTTTTGCCTTTTTAGCTGCCTTATACCTCATTGCTTCAGCCATAGAAAATACTGATTCACGCGCAGAAGGTCGCCCAAAGCAAATGGTCGCAGGTGGATCCAGCGGAGGCGGAACTGAGAGAGAAAAAGGGTGGAAAAGCTGTAGCATAGATGTGTCGAACTATGGTTGTAGCTCCGTATACAAACCAACTGCTTTGTAGTAGGCTAACAGCTTCGCTGGCCACCCCTTCTGAGTAGCGCTGTGCGCGCAGACTGGGCAAGGGCAAACCCTCGCCATACGCATCCGAGTGTGGTACGTTTACCCATAACACAGTTTCTCTAACAGTTTGGCCCATTTTGCTCCCCAAAATGACGTTTTTCATAACTTACAGGCGGGATATGTTGGTAAGATAGCGGTACCAGTTGCTGGGAACAAAGGAAACGGGATAGATTGTCCTGGTTCGATCCAGCGAAGCAAGTCCGGAAGCCCGCAGAGCCATCCTGGCCTTTTCCAGGTCTACACCGGGCGACTCCACGTCAAGGTAGCTCTTGTACAGCTCCACGATCTCCTTCTGACCGAAAATGAGCCACTCCGTGTAGGCGCCCTCCACGTGGGACTTGAGCGTCGGGAAGTTGCGCTGGAACCACAGCTCGTACTCGATCCCGGAGAGCGACGCGCGCTTCTCATCGAAGATATTCTCCATCTCCAGCTTTCGCTCATTGTAGAGATCTTGGCCTCTACGGTACATTTGGAACCGAGTCACATTCTGAGTGACGTCTAGCGGATCTGGGATCTCCTCGGAGAGATAATTGAGGGCGTTGACGTAGCGCTTCTTCTCCTCTTGCGTTTTTTGGTTGAAACCCTTCACCTCCATCTTGTTAAGGATGTTTTCGTAGATGATGGCCATACTTTCCCCTGACTCTGCTCCTCGCAGCGGATAGCGTCCTGGAATGACGTCTGCGAGTGCGAACATGTTCTCCATAACCCGCGGAGGGATCGTAACCTGCTTATCGGTGTACCCGTAGTCCGGGTTCTCAAGGTAGGCCTCGTACGCATCACCGGGGAAGTAGTCGTAATAACTTGGTACCTTTCCGGGAAGAAGCATCACCAATCGCTGCTCGGTCGACTCATCGCCAGTGGCATCGGCGCTGGTCGGCGGCAGAGCCACGTTCTTGAGGACCGTATAGAGGTTGGCCAGCGTCGTTTTGGAATGACGTGTTGCGGACTCGGTGTCGGCCAATACTTGTTGAAAAGTAACGGCAATAACTGCAAAGATAAGAACTCGCATCTTGCTCTGCTTGCAGAGCTTCGGAGTTCGGTGCGAATGTTGCAGTGTTGAAGCTAGCGTGTTTTTCAGTGCGCTCGCCTTTTATACCCTTTGGTGAAAAAACGCCGCAGTGTGACGCCCGATGATGTCACCATACCGTATAAAGGAGTCCCATCTTTCACCACACAAGCATTAGCTATTATTGTTGTTGAAAAATGCGTTTACAAGCCATTTCATTTGCACTTGGAATAGAGGTAAGTGGGTTTTCTCGACTAGGAATACGGAATTTAGGCCATTCAGAAGCTTATTAACTGCAAGGCGAAGTGGTTATGGGGGTGCTTTAGATATACATGTTATTAGTCATTGCCATCTCAATCTACGTAGCTTCTGCTCCTGGTGCAAGGTTTGCCGAAACCAAAGTTCAAGGTGAGTTTCTTTTAAGAGGTGTATATAGAAAACTTTGACTTTGTATAACAGGGCGAAAATGCTCTGGAAAGGTTTAGCAACGAGTCTGTGATGGCTGAACTGCTGCAGCTCTTGAATCAACAATCATCCACTGGCACAGATAATCCATCACATGAACCTATGCCTCTACCAGTCCCTACCGTACAAACAGGTATGTATCTCATGGTTAGATACTGCAATCTAGCTTACAGTTCCTTTTTTCCAGCTAACACTGGGAATGAATTCTACATTGGATTCATGGACAACTACATCAAGCCAGCATTTCTACCATTTGATCAGTTTATTCTCAACCGCAGCGAAATTTTCATCACCACAGCTGAGAGCTCAGAGGTAGTCACAATGATAGAGAGCGAGGAGGGAACTACCATGGTCAGTGTTAGACCTGGAGAGGTCGTGACTAGGAGACTGCAACAGCTGAAGGTTCAGTCAGGGAGGGATCGAAGTAAGGGCTTGAAGATAAAGGCTGAGCAGCTCAAGCACATTGTCGTATTTGCACTAAACAAGGAGCTTCATTCGACCGATGCCTTCACTGCTCTTCCATGTTCACATCTTGCGTCTGTCACATCTTACGAATACTATGCAGTATCGGTCCCTCCCACACCTGTCGTCGATACCGCTGCTGACAGTGCTTTCCTGATAGTGGCCTGCTCTGACAACACCACAGTCACCATCACTCCGACTCAGACCATCTCCCATCCCTACATACCCATCCTCACAATCAGAGCTGGAACCTCATTCTCTGTCCTTCTCCAAGAGAGACAGACTCTCTATGTACAGGACAGGCAAGACCTGACTGGGTCTAGAGTTGTGTCCTCGTCTCCAATCTCCTTCTTCACTGGACATGAGTGTGGGAATGTCCCGGCAGGTACCCCAGAGTGCGACCATCTTGTGGAGCAGATCCCCCCCACCGTCACCTGGGGTAACCAGTTCATCGTGGCCCCCACCGCCACAAGGAGATCTCCAGACCTGGTCAGAGTCATTGCTGCACAAGACGGCACTTCAGGAAATGCAACATGCATTTACCAAGAATCAGGTGGTGACACAGAAATCTTTACTTTGTCGTTGGCCCGGGCCAGTAACTTCATGGAGTTCAACCTTTCTGCTAACAAGTACTGCTTCATACAGGCCGACAAGCCAGTGCTAGTGGTCCAGTTTACTGCTGGAGGGGGTGCAGATGGTGCTAGCAATGCCGATCCATTCATGGTGATTGTTCCAGCAGTGAAACAGTACCTAGACATCACAACCTTCTCTACCATTAGTGGTCACGACTATCAAAACTACGTCAATCTCTACGTTCCTGCTGGGTTTGATCCATCAGGTGTTATGATTGACAGCTTTCATGGAGGAAATGAATGGGTGTCCATCGCATGTCCCAATTCTCCTCATATTTGTGGTTATACAAAGCAAGTTCCCATCAGTGATGGTGTTCACTCTATACAGAACAGCAAAGGTGGTCCAGTTGGTGTGACAATCTATGGATTATCACATCTTGAAAGCTATGCTTATGTTGGTGGTTTAAAGCTCACTGTTTCAGGTATCATTCATATTGCATTCTTAAAGTATCCCTGTCCATCATTTAAACTGCAGATCAAGACATTGTTACACCCCCAACGTCATTATTTGCAATCTCTGGCAGCTCCATGTGCCTTCAGTGTCATTCTGGGACCAAAGAACTTAGCTCAACATTCAAGTGGAGTAAAAACGGACACGCCATCGGGATACCAGCTTGGAGACTACTTGTTACCGCGAGTGGCTATCTTTGCATTAGGGATGTCAAGTACAGTGATACGGGGAAGTACGATTGTCATGCACCCAACCAGACTATTAGTTTCTCTGCAACGCTTAAAGTGACAGGTAAGACCTTATGATTATAAGGAGAAAATATTACACAATACTTGTAGGTGGTATAATCCTGGAGCCATCCTGTAACATAGCTGGCAATGATGGTCCAGCAATTGGCATAGGACAGGAAACTGTCTACCTGGACAGCAGCACACGCTCTTTTGGGATCTGCTGCAGAGTCCAGGGTCCACCAGGCTACAGAGTCACCTGGCTACATAATGGGGCTCTCATTTCAAGCAAGCATCAAGGGTATGTGTTTGGCAAAGGCTACCTCAAGTTCTCTGGGTTGTTAACCCAAGGCTGCACCAAGTACACCTGTCAGGTTGAAAATGGTGACAGTAAAAGTGAAACTATTGAAATTTGTGTTGGAGGTATGAAGTGTTAAATTCCGTGTCTATAGAACTGAATGTTGCACTCTTTCTTTTAGATATTTGGCCACCCACTGTCATCCATATTGCTGGAGAAATGACAGTATTGGACAATACAAATGCGACCTATCAGTGTAATGCAGATGGCTCTCCAGAACCAATAAAGATGTACGATAAGGTCTATATAAGGTGTATACATCCTTTAACATTTGTCATAGGTGGACAGCAGAATGTGAAGCACAGTCTCCCCTTCCTCCTACTGCCAGAGATGATGGCAACGGAGGGCTAACACTACGAGTCCACACAGATACTTCCTGTAGATACTGCTGCCATGTCACCAACGGACACAACACGATTATCAGCAAATGTTTCATCATAAATGTACTCGGTGAGTGTTTGATGGAGCTACTGCAAAATGAAGAAATGTTTTCGTATACTTGTGCAGTTCCTCCAGCAATTGCTAAGCAACAAAACTTGCCAATTACGACTGTGACAGTACCACATGGAGTTGCTTGGCCTCTTCAAGAGCCACGAACTGAAACAATTCCAATTGGAAGCAATGTCATGATCCCCGAAGGCTACCATCTGATAATAGAGTGTGGAATACTCCGTGGTAACCCAAAACCTTCAATTGTGTGGCACTTTGGTGACAATATCATCCAAGGCCAACAATACATAGTGGAAGAAGATGGGAAACTCTTGATAAATGCCATTGTTAGGGGGAGGAATGAAGGCGTGTACACATGCATTGCTGATACCGACAGTGTCGGTCAGGACAACAGCTCATCAACAGTGATTGTCACTGGTAAGTCAGTGTTATCTATCAGAATAAGTGTTGCTCACGTTATCCCTCTCCAGTCCCTCCAGGAATCAACAGTTCAGAGCTAGTCACCAGTCCAGGTAAGTGTCTGGACCTCACACAGAGTCTAGTGAACACACAGCCTGTTGGTGTGGACCTGTGCCTGAGAGCTGGAGAAGAAGCCAGCATCACACTCCAATGTAACATTGTGGAGGGCTCACCAGCTCCAACCATACAGTGGCTGAAAGATGGGGTCCCTATTCATGGATCAATGGGACAAGTTAAAGAAGATCATCTCATAACAATACATCTACCAGTTCATGCCTACGGGCAACAAAAGCACAAGTTTGAAGGAAACTACACATGTCATGCCTTCAACATAGCTGGAAGCACTAGCGTGGAAAGCCACATAACTCTCTTTGGAGGTATGTTAAAATACATCATATTGATAATTACACTATAGTTTTGTCCTTCTTTGAAAGACATCCCCACAGGCAACTCTACAAGAAATATTGGAATAACTTATGCTGACATATACAACCAGTTGCACAAGTCTGTCTCGGAACATTTCCCCAGAGTCAGGGATGGACAACAGCACATAACGTTTCTCACAACCGGGAAAAGTTTGGCTTATGATGACTACGATCCAGGGTATCTGTATGATGAGAGCGAGGAGAGTGTGCTGCCTCAGAGCATGGAGAACATGTTTGACCTGGTGGACATCATCCCTGACGGAGGAAGCATCGTCTTCAACCCACACAGGGCACCCAGACTCCAGACGACATACAGTCAATTGCTGGAGATGCTGCAAGTGGCACCCAGCTCTCTCTCGCCTGAACTACACATAAAAATACAGCAATTCTTCCAAGAGGGCATCCGAGATCCGAGCAGTGGACAAACACTGCCTCGACTCAGTCTCTATCTCCTCTACAAGAACACCTACTATAGGACTAAAATGGAGGTGGACGACCTGATTGAGTCCAAACAACTGGGTATTCTTGAGTGGGAGTTCACCCAGTGGTACGAACGAAACATACACACTCTCCAGATGAAGATCAATGATGCTTACGCGAAATGGGAGATGTATGCAAACAAAGCTGAAGTTGAGGAAAAACTAGAGAACCTGAACTTGGAGGACCATTCACAGGAGATTCAAGAAGCACAGGCATTTATTCTAGCAAGCCAGAGGACATCTCGGTTCAAAGATGAAAAGCAGTACTACCTGGTTAAATTCTACCCAGACACATGGTACAAGCAGCTTAAAAATCAGTAAGAGAAATATTTGTATGCTATAGATAAGGGAATGGGAAGCTTCTGCTTTTTTACTATACAGAGTCAAGGAGAGTGTTGAGCAAATGCAGTTTCAGCTGTCAAAACTGAAAGCAGAGGTGCAGGTATTGGAGCTCACCAGTCAGCATCTTGAGAAAAAGGCCCGTGAACGGGAGATTCTGAGTGTGGTTAATCCCACCCTTGATCCAGTCTACAAGCTCTACCGTGATCTCGACGAGGCTACTCGTCAGCTGCAGAAGCTGGTGAAGGAATCAGAGGACTTGCGCTACAAGTGTCTTCTTCGTGGAAATCCTGAAAATTGCCACAAGTACAGCGGTTTGCAGGAGCACATCCGTGATGAGGTGCTGAGCAACTATACTGAGTTCTACTGGTATGTTCACTCAGTCGAGGCAGCCCTGAATTACAGGGATATCACCATCCCAGCCATTGCTAGTACCATCAGTAAGCTACAAAACAAGATGATTCACATACAGGCCTCCATAAATATTGCACTCTCCGAGCTCTCTGAAAAAAATAGTGAGGTAGCCAGTGAAAACCAAGATGCTTTCACCAATTTTATATACAGCCCAAACTTTCTAAACCAGACAATAAAATACGACTTTAGCCTTCCTTCGTCCCTACTCGGTCGGCTGCTGTGGTACATTAACCCCGAGAGCACTAGACTTCTCCCAAAGGAGTTGACAGAGGAATACAACCTCACCATCAACCACCTGAACACTGCATTTACTAATGTGTCTGCCAAGCTTTCCAGGGTCAATGTTCACAGGAGATGGTTCAAGGCAGGGATATTTGGAAACAAGCATCTCAAGCTGGTGAGCTGTGCAACATAACCGTGTGTACCATGCTTTACATCGCTTCTCCATTGCAGGCAAATCCTGATGTGCTTGTATCTCCGGGTGAAGTCACTCCACCACAACACTTCCGTGAATTTCTTGCGAATGGCACCTACCAGCTACCACTCTACCCCACCACCCTCCTTCTGGCCACCAACATAGAACTCACTGTCGACGTTCCCTTCATATTCCACACTCTACCAACCCTCATTAAATTTTCTTACGACCCCCATGTCACCGGAGGGTTCGGCCCCTTCTCGTTCGGCCGGCTCCACAGAGCCAGTGCTGGGGACATGAAGTTCAGGGTGGGTGTCAGAGACAACAAGATATCCATCACACTACCTGGAACCCAGCTGATTGGCTATGTCTGTGACGTGGTTCCACAACATCCGAGAGAACCTACCTACAGAGTTCGTCGTTCAACTCACTCAAATGTACAAGATACACTCGTGAAAGAGTCAGAGTTTGACCAGTGGCTCTTTTCAAAGAAGAACAAAGTCTTGGACTTCAGACCTCTTCCCAATGGGCCATACCCAACCAACAAAACAAGGTAATGCATACTTTCTTGACTGACATCTCTAAACTACCAAAAGAAAAGACTTCAATGCTGATCACACCAACAGCTCCTCTGCATACCTATTACAACACCACACTTTAGATGATAGAGCAATATTCTATGTGTATCTCTATATTAATGGCTAGGTGAAAATGCATGACAAAGGTCTCGTGCGCAAGAAACGCACGATGTGTGAATTGGCAAACTATTTCATGTAGTAAAAGTCATGAATGCAACACATGGCAAGTGAATGCAAGTACAAAAGTTCAGTTGATTTTCGCATATTATTACATAAAGTATGACTGTATTAATGACAGTGCCTGACCGTCAGATAGTTATGTATAACAAGTGGAAAAATCATTTCTTCAAAATGAAAGGGGGATATAGGGATGGCTTGAAGCACCAAAAAGGAACAAACAAGGGGTCATTACACGACAAAGTTGCACAAAGCTACATGACACCATCCCTATATCTTTGTTTTATTGTTTATAAGCAAACTTTCCCTTGAGCTAAATATACATGCAAGACAACCTCTATTGCAGAGCCATATAACAACAAAGATATAGGGATGGTGTCATGTAGCTTTGTGCAACTTTGTCGTGTAATGACCCCTTGTTTGTTCCTTTTTGGTGCTTCAAGCCATCCCTATATCCCCCTTTCATTTTGAAGAAATGATTTTTCCACTTGTTTCCACTATTTTTAACTGCTTATGACAACACTGCATTTTCAGTCACCTGATGTTCATGGGTATGTTGTAGAGATAACTGATGAAAGCAGTAGCTAATGGGCTGCTGTGCCTGAAGCGGGGATGTACGTGTAGTGTCTCCAGGCCAACAAGGACGCAATAATCAGGTGGTGGCACACGGTGGCGATTTCATGGGCAGGCTTCAGTAATGGTATATAGCTATTAGCTAGCTACCCGGGGGACAAAGAAAGATGGCTAATTTGTAAGGCTCGCGTAACCCGGCGCAGACTGCCACGTGCAATCCACAAGCTAGCCAGTTAAAAATGTGTATACTGACTTACAGAAGGCACTGGAGGATAAGAGTTCCTCTGCAGGCATCCTGGCTTAGTCTCGTAGACCTGGTTCACGCACGAGAATGCGCGCGCACCGCTTTGGGGAAACGCCCTCCTCGGCGCATGCGGCTCACTGATGCTGAGTTAGCAGCAAAAATGGCGTTGTTCAGTGACTACCGTGGAGGAGCTCAACGATCTACCGTAGTGACTTGCGGCAAGAAAGAGACGATCGCTTGATATCCGTGCACACCTCTGGCGAATCTGGAAACGTTTGATGGAAAAATCAGCACTTCAACTATTTTCGGTAACGAGATAGCGGGTTTACTGAAGAAGAAACCGGAAGATGAAGAATATGATGATGATGATGATGATGATGACACGAAAATCGTGAAATCGCGTAAGAGCCAATTCTCTCGTGGGGAACTGAGGGCACGTAGGAAGTCTTGGGGAGTATGTATAGCTAGGTATTGGCCTGTAGACTATTGCTAGTGATTTTCAAGCAATGGTGAGTCATTCTCGCCAAGTTTTGAGGCGTTTTGTACGCGGATCACGTGAGATTTCACCCGTGTCATCCCTATATAGAGCGTCTACCGACGCTCTGATAATTATTCATAATTAAAAAAGTCGATCATCCAATTCAGATTATAGGTAGGCTCACTTTACTCCCCAAAAAAATGATTCTAACACTTTTTTGGTCTCCTTTTTGGGTTGCCATTAAAATAAGGGGTGAGGGTTCGAATTTGTAGCAGGACTGGTTCATGCACACCACTGGGTCACACCTGACGAACAAGACTTTTTCTTCATTCACCGACATGCTGTTAATAAGAAAATCATAAACAGCTTTGCATCCTCAACATAATCATTATGTTGCCTCCACAACAAACAAAAGTGGGTTTTTACTGCCTACGTATATACTAGTAGTGTTTACTACTGCGTCTGTGTAGTTCATGCCATGCCTATAACTAAAATATCAGGGGGGAAAGAGCTGGAAACGAAAAATTCCTCACTTGTAGTCATGCGTAGCTACCACATTTCACGTCTATATGAGTGCCCTTAGCTGTCGATTAACAACAATTTTGAAAAATATCTCACCCACATTCATGTTAACCGGGAGCTCTGGACAAACAAGCTCCAGATACTTTTACTTTCTATATATCTGTTGTTGCTAACCAACACATTGTACGTAGCTTCCTTGGTGTGGATTCAGAAGCAATAACTGTGGATAATTATTCTAACCTAGCCAATTTAGTGGCCCAACGTTGTTTTATCAGGGATGCCAAGTGATATGAAACAAGGGTAGCCCTAACCCCTGTGAAGGTTTCTCCTAGTTTCCAATGATGTGGCATTTACACCTCCCCTCATATTATTCTTTTAACCTGAGCTATCCCTAGTCACTGTTATTGTAGAGGGGAGTATAAGTGTTCCTTCTCTATGCTTCCCTTTTTCCCACTTCCACATTCTATTTTTGACTTATACGCTTGTGTACGTCATTAGTAGTTTCTGTTGCCTATGGTCTGCCAAGACCCACACTAAACTGAAGCAAACTGCAAAGCCAAAGAGTAGCAGAACACTGATAGGTACCACTGCGAGTATTTTATGCTGCCTTCTCCCACTCACTTTCTGGGAGTGGGGGAGATAAATAGCTCTTACTTTGCCGGACTCCTGTAAACATGGCTACAAGTGAGGAATTTTGCAGCTTCCCTTGTTAGGGGGTGTACTGCACTCTTGCATGAAATGTGGCAAACGTGTGATAACAGAGTGAGATATTTCTCAAAAATTGTATTAAATACCTGCTATTCCGGATAGAGTTGGGCATGTACCACACAGAAGCACAAGAACAGTAGGCAGGTAGGCACACTCACAAGTGAAAAACATGAAGAGGGTGAATAGATGTCCCATCATGCAGAAAAAACGCCACCACACGTTATTGTTTCCATGATATTATAGGAAGGGTTTTGCGTCCTCCACAAATCTATTTCTAGTGGGATATTGAGAGCAAGGTGGTGAGGTCCACCAAAACAGCGGCTAGACATGCTCAAAATGAGGTATAAAAGCACCGGTAGACGCTCTATATTATAGAGATGGCGCAATCTCATGTGATCCGCATACAAAACGCCACAAAACTCGGCATGACTTGCCATGCCTTCAAAACATACTAACATTTGACAACTGATTTTTTCACTGAGCGTCTCCAAATTCCCGGAGGTGTGCACAGATATCAAGCGATCGTTTCTTTCTTGTTGCAAGTCACTGCAGTAGATCATGGACGGTAGACACTGAATAACGCCATTTGCTGCTAACGCAGCATCAGTGAGCCGCATGCGCCGGGCAGGGGCATTGTCCAATGTGCTGCGCGCGCACATTACACCTGGCGGGTTGACAGTGTATATACACATTTCCACCTGGCTAGCTTGCGTTTTGCTGTTGATTTGCACGAGGAGCAACTTGCCGGAGTCTGTACTTGGTGTTACATGAGCCTTGCCACGCTCAACTTCATTCTTTGTCCCTGAGGTTGTAGCCTGATTACTAAAGCCTGCCCATGAAACCACCACCATGTGCCATAACCTAATTAAATCCTTGTTGAAGACAATACATGGGGTGAATATCTAATCCCTGCTTCTAGCGTTCAACAGTTAGTGTTGTCCACGGTCAACCTCTCTACAACATACCCATGAACATCAGAGTGACTGTAATAATAACAAACCCTTGTCGAACTGCGCATGCGCGATACAGCTAATTGATGGGCTGGGCTGGCCTTTACTCGTGGTCTTCATTCCGCTAGTAGCTCACAGAGAGTCTGACACTGGCTAGCTACGGTAGTAGAGGCATGCGGGAGTTGACCTTAGCCCTTCGTTGTGACTTCTGGTGCCTCCAAGGTACGCAGAGCAAGCACATCTGGTCGAGATAACCCTGTTTGCATATTGGCTTGTTCACTTGCTTTTCACGCCATAACCCACCGTCCCAGTTCTCAAGGCTGGGCATCCAGGTCTTACTCTTGTGCTTGTATGTGTAGTGCATACACACACATACTGTTCCGCTTTAACATTGGTACTTTGCTCTCGACGTTCCCTGTTACGTCCATAACTTAGGCGCCCGTACAAATAAGCCAGTGGTTAATACTTGTGTGTATTCATGAGTAAATATAATGACGTATGCTGGTGGGGTGTGTGGGGTTGTGCTGGCCTGGCTGTGCGGGGGTGGGTAAACATCAATATCTGATGCATGGGGGACTGTATGTTGTGTGACGCCGACAAAAGTCTTCCCAAAATCATCCCCTGTTCCACTTCTCAAATTCCCTCCCTGGCTTTTGATACCATCCATACCTAACACACACAAACCAAGTACTGTAACCTTCGCTGCGCTTGCGTGCCGAGGGTTAATAAAAATGCACTGTTGTCATAAGCTGTGAAAAATAGTGGAAAAAAGCAGAAAAGTCATTTCTTCAAAATGAAGGGAGATAACAGGATGGCTTGAAGCACCCAAAAAGGAAGAAACAAGGGGTCATTACACACCAAATATGCACAAAGCTACATGACACCATCTCTATATCTTTGTAATAATTTGCTTATGAACAAAGATATAGGGATGGTGTCATGTAGCTTTGTGCATCTTTGCTGTGTAATGACCACTTGTTTCTTCTTTTTTGGTGCTTCAAGCCATCCCTATATCCCCCTTCATTTGAAGAAATGTTATACAATGATAGAGAATGCATTGGTAAAATCTCACGTGATATCCTTACATACAACCCTAGTCTCGGCTGACAAGAACATTTAGGTAACTGGAGAAAAATTATGAAGGACTAATACGCCGCTTCAGTCACGCAAGAATATGGCCATTTCATGGTTTTCGTGTCATTAAATTAATGTTCTCAAACGTCACACGTTTGCCACTCCTTGTTAGCCACATGTTTGATACAACAGCCCTTCTTCACCTATGCACAACTTGCTCTCCGTGTACAGAGACAACTCTCATTAATGACCCTTTTTGTTCTAATGGAGATTTCATAATGTTTCTGTTTCTCTAAGACTTTATTTCTGTCTATATGTGAGGGATGGCTTGCAATCAAGGAGTATTATTATATCACAATTTTCAATAAACATTTTGGGAGAAAGTCAGGTTTCGCAGAAGGCACAAAATCTTGGTTACCTGTCAGTGATAAAACCCATCTGAATTGCATGTTGAATGATCTTTAACTAAGGAGCGTATTCGATCGTGATTGCAATCGTGCGATATACTGCTGTTGACATGTATGCCAGCGCTCGCACATCAGATCCTGCGTTTTAGAGCATGATGTTGCTCTGCGACGCAAGTCGTTGTGCCTGGTCAAACGAGGATGTTTTAAAGTTAATTTGAGAATGCGTAAATAAATGGAGAATATTAGCTTTGACCACGTAATACAAAGAGGATAAAAGGGAGAGAGCTGCACTGAATTGTTCACCAGACAGGGAGTTAGTAAAGCTGGCTCATAGCTTGCTGGCAGAGAGTGGTGTAGGTCTGCCTCTCCTCTGCTGTCATGTTTGCCACCATCTCATCCGTCACCTCATTCAGGGCTACCTCTCGCCCACCAACCTATCCAATAAACACAACTTATTAACCACCAGTGTGTATACCCTAGTCCATCAATTAGCGGTACCACGCATTCACAGTCATGCCCGTAGGCTGACCTAAAATTGGATAGGTTCTTTCTAAGTATTATGGACGCATACTTCGCGGCATTATAACTGGTTATATATAAACTTGTTATTTTGCATCATGTTTACTAAAAAGTACTCGAGAACAGAATCCAGTTCAAGTCTACTGGGATGGAGTGAAGCATAGCAATCAACCACGTCCCATAGTGAAGTGTGCGTGCGCGCAGTGAGCGGCAAGGATTCTCGCGGAGAGCCACGCCTTCCTTCCCGGGCACGTGTGCGGAATGCTTCACGTAGCGTGGGTGGAGCGCCCCGCGGAGTCACGCAGACCTTACTTCGGTCTGGGCGGTTCGTCCGCACCTACCAAACACCCTCAGCCTACGGGCATGACAGTGCGCCGATGGTTTGGACAGTGCCATTCATTTTCGCTATGTAGCATTGGCAAGAAGTACTATTGGGTATGATAGCGGGCAGTTTTAGCAAAGGAGTTAGCCTGTACAAGGGGCAATGCCACAAGTACCAGAAGCCTACCTTCATGGTAAACTCTTCATCAGAAGATTCATCTCCAGAGTTTTCTGGGATGGCTTGAGCTGGGGCCCACCCTCCTTTCTCCTCCTCCTCCCCCTCACTGCTGCTGCTCTCTCTGTGCAGTTCTCCACCAGGAGTGGGGGACTTGGAGGAGGAGGAGGCAGTGGAGGGTCCAGCTCCACCCAGTCCTCCAGGCAAGGCTCCCAGTCCAGCTTCGTGGAGCAACAACTCGTTCATGATCTGCTGGTCTGTTGAGACAACAAATCCTCACTTTATATTCCACCCGCATGATAATACGGAGACTTAGACAAGAGACACCAAACGTCTATATAGAAGACATAAAATATTCCCATAGAGATGAAGGGTAATGAACTCTAGTGTTGTGGCTCAGCACCCATTACATATATAGTTTTGAAAAACGGATTCCCAATTACTGTAACTCTACATTGTCAAGCTGCTCTGACCAGGTAGGAGTGCAGAAGACGGAGCATCAGTTTTGACAGTGTCTGAGAGCTGGTCAGTGGAGGCAGGGTCTTGGGCATGGTCTCCTGATGGATGGACTGTACTGTACTTCATCCACTCAGGAACATCCTTCGCAGCAGCCTGCAACATAAAATTGCAATTAATAACAGCAGCTTCTATTATTATCTTGCCCTCATAGACCCTCACATAAGTTCCTGGCTTGTTCAGCCATTGAGCAGCAGGACTGATATACAGAGTCGATGATGCTGTCAGTTTTATCACTAGCTACCCAACAGTATGATTAAAGTAAATCCCAGATATATATATATATATATATATTATATATATTATATAACATATCGCAGTGCCATTCCCATATCAACCTTGCTTCAGATTTAAAAACAGCACAGGAGTTTGCCTGCACATCTCTGATCCTCTGCTATTATGTGAAGGAGTGACACAGGAAACGGGTTCTAGTTAGCAGCACAACACGTGAAAGCTAATCATAAAAAACCTTCTTCTGTGTAAACTAGCTACAAGGGGAGTAAACATGCACAGGAGTAAAGTCTATGTGTGAAGAAGTGACAGTGGAAATGGGTTCTGGTTAGCATCACAAAAACAGGTGAAAGACAAACCCTCTTCTGTGAAAGGGAGTAAACATGCATAGTGCCATTATGATATGTAAACTTTGGGACACACTTTTTCGCCATGATTCTCAGGATGGGATGTATGGTAATGCAGAGTCCTTTGTTTGCCTGGAAGAATATTACTGTATATATGCCTTATACAGGCGTTTGGAAAATTCGCGACGTCTTGCTATGACTAAGACTCGCAGAGAAAACCTTCCAAACTTAAGTGACAAAATAGAAAAAATTTTGAAAAATACATATTGTTCCACTATAGTGGGTAAGTTGGAATACAGAGCCAGGAAATTAGAGAGATTTTTGAGGTGTTAATTTTCACAGTTTGTATGCAAATTTTGGCGGATCAGGTACATATATATGCCTTAAACAGTTAGCCGCACACACTTCTAGACCAATGGACTGATACTGAGTGGCCTAGTAGCAAGTGGTAGCAACTATCCTGTAGCCTGCTGCTTGATAACTTCCCTATAACAGCAGTGAACTTAGTGGTTCCTTCACTTTCTCATTTGCTGACACAACGGCAATCAAAAGTAGCTACAACAGACCCTGGGGATCAGGTAGTTTGCCGGTAGAGTGTGCTACATGAAGTACGTAGTAATCTTGGGGGTGAAAAGAAATAGGAAGTTCACAGTTACCAGTGCTTAATATTTGCGGTTCACCCCAATTGGCCAAAACCGCAAAAAATTATGCACCTCGAAAATTGGGTGCTTTAGGTACTTGGCCATTTAGTTGTGTATTTAATACAAGTGAGAATGCAAACCTCAATTTACTCCCATTTCACATGTAAACATGCATATTTTGGGAATGTACGCATCCTTCGGCTACTTATTCATCTATTGAAGCTAGTGGTTCTAGAACTAGGTGGAAGAGGTTGCAAGAGCAGGACCAGTTCATAATGATAAGGACAACCATTATTGTTCCTTTTATGCTCCAGTTGCTTCTTCTTGCCCTGAGCAGTGATGATAATGGTAGTAACAGTGAGACACAGCGTCACGAGAATGGGTTGGAAAACGACACAGGAAGTTTAGAGTGGGATGGCCAGCAACCCAGGCAGCACACGACGATTTTAAAAGGCAGCTCTCAGAATGCTCAAAACTGTCTAAGAAGAAATCCTTGGTTCTTATGGAATAATAAGACCAAGACATGTTGTTGTGGCAGTGATTTGTATGGAGCCGTACAGTGTAACTCTGATACTAATGAACTGGCAGTCATGGACTGTCACTGTCTGACTGTCGAACATTACACTACTGGACCAGCACTAGCAGTAGTCGGGAACTGCCCATTGAACTGTGATAATTTCACACATTTCAAGAACAAGTACCAAATGTACCACCGTGGACCAAGTGACTGTGCTAGTCTGAACAGACAAGGAACACTCTGTGGACAGTGTTTGGATGGTTATGCCGTGGGAGCCTATTCTTATGATTTCAAGTGCATTAGATGCAATACAGAACTAGAAAACTGGGGGCTCTACGTAGTCTTTGCCTTTCTCCCTCTCACCGTCTTCATCATCATAACTATGGTCTTCAGGATAAATGCACTCTCTCCACATCTCAACATGTTCGTGTTTGCTGCTCAGCTTCTTACAGCTCCAGCAATCGTCAGAATGTTTTTGCACTACATTTCACAAAACCACGCTTCAAAGATATTCAGAGTCGTAAGTCAGATTTCTATAGCAATTCACGCTATCTGGAATTTGGACTTTGTTCGAGTCAATGCCTTGCCTAACGTTTGCATCAATGCTACCACACTTAACATCCTGCTACTGGACTACCTCATAGCCATCTATCCACTGATACTAATCGTTGTGTCATATATAATCTTTGAACTACATCGCTCTAGTTTTAAACCAGTCTTATACATATATAGACCACTTCACATGCTCCTGGCTCGGTTTCGTCGTCAGTGGGGGATGCAAACAACCATTATGGATACCTTTGCTACATTTTTCTTTCTCTCCACTACTAAATTTCTCAATGTCTCCTTTGGTCTATTAGTACCCACCACAATTTTCAAACCGGATGGAAAAACACACTCAGTGAACTTGTACTACGACCCCACTATCAAATACTTTGGCAAGGAACATGGTCCATATGTACTCATGCTATCACAATTTTGATTGTCTTCATTGCCTTCCCACTATCTCTCTTATTCTGCTACCAATGTAAGGTGTACCGGAAGTGTCTAACAAGGTGTAAAATCCGAGGTTCGGTGCTGGATGAGTTTGTCGATACTTTTCAAAGGTATTACAAAGACGGCAGCAGTGGGACACGGGATTACAGGTGGTTTTCAGGATTCCTCATCCTTTTAAAACTATTGGCATACATGATATATGCAGCATCTCCCAATATCTTCTGGTACATTCTTGTTGCAATGCTGTTTACCATTGGGGCTGTCGTAATTTTGATAGTGGAGCCGTACAAAGAGGAGTATGCAGCGTACAACAGGACCAGTTCTGTTCTTCTTTTGTGGTTTGCACTATTCTGTACAACCATCGTAACCGAAGCTTTGGCAATATATTATGGGACGGAGCCCCACCACTATTATGTGCCGGTAGTGGTGGTTGGCCTTTTGCCTCTTGTTTACATTACGGCTGTAACAATAAACCACTTCAGAAGGAAATTTCGAGGACAGGAACCAGCAAATACTCTCACCAGTTCTCTACCAGACCGTCTGTTACACTCTAGCATGTACAGAGGCTCCATAGATGTACTCCGACCACCACTAATTAATGGGAGTGAACAGTAAAACAACTGTGTGTTACAAACTTTGCTACAAAAGAAAGATTTTGGTAGTTAGGCTTGGTCATATCATAAACTGTGTACTTGTGAGGTATTAATCATGCATATGTGCTTGCCGATGTGGATGCTAATTACAAACACATGAGGCAATTGCTCATTGCACAAGCTGTACTTTGTGTTGGTCAGCAGTGTGCTATACAAGGCTGTGTAGGGAATCGCGTCCTAACACAGTTTATCGTCGGATGCTACTTCAGGCCTTCGGGCATAATATGCACAATTAACTTCAGGTCAAATACAGTTACATAGCAACAATGATTCAATCATCCCAAATAATTACTTTTTTACCGGCAATTGGCAATAACAAGTAGACTAGGAATGCGCACGCGCATATTTTGCCTCGCGCGTACCTGCCAGCCAATGCATAAGCCATGCTGAGGCCGCTCGTGCACGCGCTCTACTGACTGCGCGCGAAGCCAGACTTAACTTCCTACAAATCTGCGCGCACGGCGGAAGCTAGACTTGTTACGAATGACGGAAGTTGACATTCCTAAGCGTGACTAATTTAAATTCCTAAGTGTGACTAATTGGCATTCCCTAAGCGTGACTAATTGACATTGTTAAGCGTGACCGACACGTACGTACGTACGCATATCGCGAGAAAACAACCCTGAGTAGTTGCCTCGCGCTAATGCGCTCGGCAATTAAAAAATCTGGCTTTCTGCATAGCTAAGGTATAAGTTATAAAGAGACAGCAGCAGTATGCGGGCAATGAACAAAGTATATAGCAGTCAGAGTCAACTGATACATGAGAATGCAATCTTCATCAGGTTAAAGGTAATGGTTGCCTAGATCACCAAGAATTCAGCGGTTATACTTATATTTGGCTTATGTGAATGGCAAAAACGGAGGAAAAGGAAAAATGAGTGTACTACAACACAATTACACTTTATGCAAGCACTGAGTAGAGCAATATCGTTTACATAAAGTTTGGGATATGCATATTGTCGAGTGTGACAGCATTCCCGTTTTCGGACACTTAATGGTGCAATTTAGATGACAATGATATATACGTACCCTCTTTGGGGACTGACATCAATTTAAGGCAGGAGAGCCAGTATAATATGAGGCCACTTTTAGAGAGTCATAAGCTTTTGGCCATAAAATAAACAAAAAACATTCAGCTGCGTAGGAGAAAACATGCAGAGAATCCATTTAAAATGTAAACAAATACATTTTGGGAACATTATTCGGTTACCAGTGTGTAAATCAGAGGTTTAATGCATTGATGGTCTAAAATGAGTGCTGGTTGGTACATAGCAATGAGATTGCTCACTTTCTGCTTCTTCTTGAGTTCCTGCTCACTGCCAATACTTACACTGATGGTCTGGTCTCCTCCATACAGGTCCACACTGACCCGCCAGCCATAATGCATGCATGCAGCAAAAGGGAAAATACAGTTATTCTTGGCAAGCGGATGTGAGCCAACTGTTACAAGTCAGAGCTTGATGAATATATCACACGTAAGCAAGCAAACACATATAGAGTACAGTATGTGCAGCCTTTAACGTGTCCCACTTGTATGAATATACACACCAAGGGTGCATAGTTTGTGTACAAACAGCACTAGCAATGTAATGCCTCACGCCTGCTTGGAGTTCCAGCCCAGTTCCTGGTTCTTGCCTCCTGATTTGCCGGACACGACTCCACAGGACTGCAAATGCTATGGAATGACATGGATGAGGTATGAGCATAATTATTATTCAAGTGCAGTGTGTTATTTTATAGAAATATGTAGAGCTAATAAGTTTTGTATAGTTGCAAGACCTGTTGTATGGAGTGTAGCTCAGGCTCCAGGATCTCGGGGGAGAGGTTGATGTTCTCCACCTCACGCAGCAGGTCCAGGATTGGCCGCAGCTGAGCATTCAACCTACATCATCCCAATCCTCAGTAAGTTAACTGGCTAGTCCGGACTACTACAAACAATAAAATATTCCTCCAAGAATACAGATTCACCAGCATACACAGATAAAATATTCAATGTATGGACAACATAGCAGGCAGTACGGAAGTATTACAGAGAGTGCTGAAGAGGGCGTGGTATGGAAAACTACACAAAGTATAGTGTCTTTGTTTCTGAGGTCGAGTTTTTTGCTGCAATTTGTGCTCCCTTGAAAATTGCTTTATCCCCCCCGAAGACAATTTCGCTGGTTAGTCTAGGTGTGTGGCTGTGGACTGACTGTGACATGAGTTGTCTGGAGTCTGCCCCTGCATCCTCTGGTTCCTCCTCCTCAAGAGCACATCCACAGTGACTGCAACTGGACACACACAGTATGTACATACAAATTCAGCACCAGTATAATTATGCTATGAGTAGGCTACAGATTGTAGGCAGCGGAAATGAGCTGTTATCCAATGTGAGAGAGTGCTCTGACTCCTAAGGTATAAGTTAAAGGGAATAATTATGACAGTACATATTACCGGAGGAATGCAATTGATTTTCGTTTCGATTTCCAGCATGTTTTTACAATAGATTACGGTCAGTGCAGTGTGGCACGAAATACGGTCAGTGCAGTGCAGGGTCTACACTCATAGTATTATGTATTGACTTGAGTGATCCAGTGGTGTGGTCAATGAGTCTGTCCACATCCAGGTCTGAGAAGGTCTGGGCACAATGGGGACACTTGTACGATGTGTGACTCTTACTCTGCGGAATATACACACCAGTCAATGAAGATCCAGGCATTTCATGCATTGAATGAATGGCATATCATGTATGTAGGTCACTAACGTTCTTTTCCTCCATTTCTAATTTCCTTCGCATGTGGTCGAGGCGGTACTTGACGACATTGACAAACTGCTTGTAGTTGATGAAATAGTAGTGAGTCATTCTCATCAGTTTCTGGCCATCAGCTCGAGTCTCCCCTTCTTCATTCTCCATCTTCTGGAGACTTAAGGGTAAAGAATGGTGTGCACCTTGTCGTCAGTTTAGAATAGGCATGATAGGTATTTAACCCTCGGCACGCATGCACAGCGAAGGCTACGGTACTTGGTTCGTAATGTGTGTGTCTGTCTGTCCGCCTGTTACCACGTTTTCTGCCAGCACGCGCAACGAGACAACAATACCAAATGGTTCAGCGCTACACTGGCTTCATTTTAAAAATAGCGATTTTCGTAAAAGTATACTGAGTTATGGCTGGAAACCCAAGTGAACAAGCTAGTATGCAAATTAGCACAGGGCTACCTTGACAGATCCACTTTCTCTGGGTAGCTTGGCCACACCAGAAGTTGCAACGCAGGGCGAGTATCTAGTAGTGTAGCTAGCCTGTCATGGCCTCTCAGCGAGCTGGCAAGAGACCACGAGTGTACACTAGTAAATATACTCCAGCCCATCAATTAGCGGTACCGTGCATGCACAGAGACATACGCGCACGCGTCTCTAGTGTGCCGAGTGCTTTTTATTGCTCAAATGAAGGTCATAGCCAGAGAATTACATTCAGACCATCATGGCATCAGGGGACAAAAACTTGAAAGGGTAGTGAGGGTGAAGGAGAGCTAAAGATGGTTTCAACAAGACAATTAACAAGGCACTCCCACCTTCTGATCAACTTGTCTTTCTTGAGTGAGTTAAGCACTTGTCTCAATTGCTTCTGGGCTCCGTGCAACTTGAGCACATCCAGCAAATCTCCCTCAGTCACGCTGCAACAACCAGCATTACCACCACCTTCACAAACTACTGTATGGTCAATGCCCCCTGTACTGGTTACTATCCCTATTGCAAGTACAGCAAAGGAGGAGATGCTCTGGCTACCAAACACTATAAGTATGTAAAAATGGATAAAGGAGAAGAGACACCTAGAGTTGCATGGGAGTGTTTGCTCTACATAAAATGCAGACTGAAAGTGCGTCATGTCATCAACTAGAGCTGTTCTTTCTTTCTCAAATAGGTGCCGGTGTGATTACCTCACAGTTGCCAGCTACACAACAATTGATTGTTACAAGGCCATGCGAATATGTAGGCAAAGTGAACAAACAGCACCATGGATATTTGGCGAGGATGTCCAGCACCACAATCTGCTGAGGCTGGTAGAACGCCCTCGCAATAACTCGTACCAGTACCTTGAGCTTCAGTGGCACCTCATCTGCAGTGAATTGAATTGTTCTTACATCAAAAGCATGTTTGCAGTTGAGGATATGCGGTAATCGGACATGCTAATCGAACATTCAATTCCTGTAGTGTTACATGGTTTACAACAGTGGCTTGGGTATTAACTAGTATATACTAGTATGTAGGGCCTATACTCACTCAGGATTTCGTGGGAACTCATCCTGTAGGAGTGCAGGGGTGGCGACACTGCCGACCGGCCTTCGGGGGTTAAGGTCAACCAACACCTTATACCGTTTGCGCATGCGTGTGAAGGGGCGGATTTACCACACTCTCGATCTCCAACTGGAGCTGGCCGTAGGACATTTCTTGCCACGTTTCTTGCGCGACTCTTTTCGGTCCCGGTTATGTCTGCAGGGATGAACAAAAAGAAGAGGAGCAGTACTGGGTATTGGCATACGTAAATACGTATGAGGGCTGGGCATACGGGACACTATGCTTTCCACTTTCAGCAGGGGAGTAGCAGGGATCGAGAGGTCTGCAGTGAGGATTGTGCTGACGGCCCTCCAAGATTCCTCTGAGGACTCTGACCTCATTTCTCTCTCTTCATCTCTCCTGCAGCTGGCCTCCAGTGATGGTCTGTCTTGCCCCATTATCATAATACCGCATTATGTGTCCCCATTGCTTGCACTGTGCAGCCAAAGAACGCAAGACAATAATGCACAGCTCAACAGAAGGAGTGGGAGTCATCCTCAAATCACTGCAGGTCCAAACACATCTCATAGTCACATATCTGACCATTTGCCGCACTAAACCCAGTAATCCAGTTGGCTTTCCCGTGTACAGAAAGTTTGTTGATTTGTATGCTGAGAGTTCCCTGTTATTTGTAGCCAATTTGTTTGTTTTTTTACTAGCAGCTTGCAGATAACTTTCCGCTGGTACAAAACCTCACTGTAACACTGGAGTGCCTGGCAAAGCACAAGTACACAGGTTACCATGTACTGTAGCCACTCACACTTATACATACGTACTTCATAGAACTGTGGACATCCCTTAGATTTCGATGTGTGAACATTAGCACAACTCGAAGACCTTGCTTGCTCAATCACTGTTTAGCCTTGGAGCAACAGTGCATGGTTCACAGCTAGTTTTAGCTGCTCTCTGTGTAACTTTAGGGAAGCTGGTTCGAAAAGGAGCAATTCCAGTAGTCCTATCGTCAATGGTGTCATCATCAAGAAGTGACTGGTGTACTGACAGCCTCCTCCATCTCTATCACTCCCTCCTCCTCCAGCTAGCCAGCAAAGGTAGAGTGTGTAGCAAGTCACTTACGGATTGCAATTGCAATTTCCAGCAGAATGGTTGGTACGTGAATTTCAGGATGGTATATAGCTATCTTAATCTTTACACAGTACTGCTGAAGGTGCAGAAAACCATTTTTGGGATAAATCCAAGTGTAGTGAATGATTCTAGCAGGGATGGTTTGGTAATAATTATAGTAAAACCCTTCATCAAGGTATATACTCTGCTTCCAAAGTGTTCAGTGGTATTTTAACTAACACAGTCTTGTTCAAAACATTAACTATGCGATGTTGGTGATTGTCTTGTGTTGTTATTTAATATATACAGACAAGAATTTTGCGATCAAGGCGAGGCTGAGTGGAGCAGTGCCAGTGACGGTAGGGCTACTGAAGAGGAGTCACGGAGACCACACCTCCCTCCACACACTCCTAGGACTCCTCAAGATCATGGCCTCCAACAGTGAGAGCTTTAAACTGTAGTGTTATATGGGTTGAGCAACTGTGTGATAGCTTTTTCATTCATTACCAAAACTAAGATACATTAGAGCACCTAAGTGAAGTAATCATCAAGAGATCATTCGTTTTTAAATATTATGTTGCCAATGATGGTTCGCAGACAAGAAAATGTCAATGAGCAGTGTCTCAACCACTGAGAGTAAAACTGTCTTTAGTCCATAGAAACCACGTCACCTTCTTTTTATGTAATAGCTACAGTTCAATGTCAGCATTATTTTGTGCAAAAAGCGGCACTTCACGGTCTGTTTCTTCAGGTGCTAATGCGATGTTCATGGGGAAGCACGGATGCCTGTCTGTGCTGTCAAAACTGCTGGATGGTGTGGCAAAGAAGAACTACATCGTCTTAAAGTATATATATTATATCCATCATGACTTTGAGAATATTACGATATGCAATACTGGTGTAATTTTCACTCAGGTTATGTGCAGAGGCTCTTACTCCTTTGCTTAAACAAAGTAAGTAAAGTTTTGTGTTCTAGTTTAAACCTTCACAGTGTAGTGATTTCTCCTAATGTATAGAGACCCTGGTCAGCAGGGGCTGGGGCCAGAGCTGTGTGGGTCAGCTGGTGGCCCTGCACAAACACTGCCACCTCACCGACAGACAGTCCAGGCACCTGCCCCTCAGGAGATCTCTTCTCCTCTCTCTCAAGGCTGCAACCTCCTCAGGTATATTTCCATTTTAGCGAGTTTCGCATAATTTTTCTTGGATTTTTAAACTTGAATTCTACTGCATGAAAAGGGGTTGTACGTGGTGCATCCAGGTGCATACACACACAAGAATGAAACTACATTAGGCAAGGAAAAATTGTACCTGAAACAGAAATAAACCTGCTACATGGTTATCTGTTACAATTGAGCTTATGCTGTATTTGCATAAGTGTGAATGTATGTATGGCTTACAGTGGCCTCTCTATCTCCTGCACATAAACACAAACTTTGTAGCTGTTGGAACTGATGCCTTCCGAAAGAGCAATGGTCTTGAGGTCTTATACTCTACTGCATCCCAGCTTCACTCAGGTACGCATATACATAATTGTATGTACACCTTACCATTTTGCTCATGTATATACAATATGGCAGGTGATACACTGTATAAGACTTGGGAAGGTTTTCCTGATACCGATGTCGGGGAAAGGGCTGTGATTAGCCATACTCAATATAACGTCTATAAGATTTAGGGTTTGACTTAAGAGTGGGACAGTTGCATTACCCCTTAATGGTGTTAGTCGTATCAATGGGCCGATTTTCCATTTCGTTCTATCCAGCAATGCCACACATACCGTAATGTTCTACGTCATTCTAAATCAACGACAGCCACCAAGCGTGAAATATTGAACTGCACGCGCTCACTTGCCAACAATGCATTGCATTCCTCCAGTTATTGTGGTATGTGTACATTTCTATCAACAGATACGGCAAAGGAGACCAAGTCCCTTGCCACGCTGACGTGTACAGTACTGAGAAGAGCTCTGCCTAAAGTCCCTCTCCCCATAACCACACCATGTAATCCCTTCTGCTACCCTCTCCCCACCGGCAGCAGTGGTTCATCTGTAGATATTGGAGACCGAGACGCTCTCCCACCTCCCTCTAGTCCCCTCCACACAACCCTCTCTGCCCCTGAGCTAACGAGCTCAACGACACAGCCAGACTGCCACACCATGCAACTCAAAGAGGCTGAAACACTTCCAGAGAACTGTGCAACCAACACACTTCTTCCAAACGCCACTTTAGTATCGTCTGAACAGCAATCAACTCCAGCACAGGAGGCCTCTGTGATGCAGTTCCAAGGCCAGACCACTGAGGAGCACCCTCACTCCACCATCACTGACGACACCAGAGACCCCACTACCCAATCTGACTCTGACAGTCAAACAACCCAGCCATCGTGTGAGACCCACTCTGGGCAAGCCATTACTCCTGAGGAGCTGGCACTCTATGACAAGTTCTTTCCCGAGTTGGAGAGGGTACTGAGGAGAGAGGAGGCAATGAGAAAGACTCTTAGCTCACCACAACTGCAGACACTTGTGTGTGGCGGACTGGCAAGGGGTAGCTTTTCTACAGGGCAGGAAGGATATAGACAGAGTGAGAGTAATTCATCTCTGTGTGTTTCAAGGACAGCTACACCACTAGTGGTTATCCCAAGTGCTCAGCCACTCAGTCAATCTAGTGATGAGGGCATGGCAGAGCTAATTGGAGGAGCTTCCTCTCACGGTATTTCGTCAGATGATAGGGGCAGAGTGTGTAGCGAAGTGACAGTGGAGAGTGTTGTGCCGTTCGTTGAGAGTGCAGCTCCACAGCTTTTGGGCCACCATTCTAAACCTGATCCTGAACCACTCTACAACAGAGTTCCATCTGTTAATAGGTCAGGGAAAAGATTTTTGTGTAGACTACCATCATGCCATAGGAACACCTTTATTGGATTTCTTTGCATAAGTTGACTCGTACAGTCATTGTTTGCTGTCATGTTGCACAAGTGCTGTTTTATTCCTTGTAGAAACTTATTTTTCGAGTTATGTGGCCTTTGAAAATCAGCGTGTATACCGATTAATGCACAACTTTCTCACAACCTCAGGTCAATGACACTGGAAGACTGTGCTCGCTACATCTCTACTGATACATTGGACAGAACAGTCTACGACCTAGACTCCCTGGCTAGGTCTTCTGGTGGATGTGGGGAAAGTGTCTCCATTTCTCAGGGGAGGAAGTGAGGAAGGTTTTAGTGAAGGTTCTCAGCTGCCCAGAAGGGCAAGTGGGTTGAAGGATTGTGATGGAGGGAGTGGTGAGACGGATGGGTGGTGTGGTAGTGATGGGTTTGGAGACAAGTGTGGTGTGCTTGAAGGGTGTGATGGTGGTGAGTTTGGTGGGGAAACTGAGGAGCTCGGTGGTGGAAGTGGTGGGGTTGAGGGGTGTAGTGGTGGAAGCGGGGAGAGAGGGGACCTGGAGGGGTGTGGTGGGGAGGGTGGGGAGCTGGAGGAGTGTGATGTGGGGAGTGGGGAGTTTATGGGTGGAAGTGGTTGGATAGAGGAGTGTGGCGATGGGTGTGGTGGTGATCATCTGTGGTTTGAGTCTCGATTTGAATGTGGGAACCTAAGAAAGGCAGTACAGGTACAGCTACTAGTCTTCTGGCTAATGCTACATACAGTCCAATTGACATGTTTCAGGTTCGTTCGTGTGAATATGATTTGATTCTCAACTCTGACATCAACAGTGACCACCATCATCAGTGGTTCTACTTCAAGGTCAGAAATAGTTTCTATTGCCTAACACACAGTTGTGTTACCACCTACTCTACACAGAGTGTGATAGGTAGTGGTAGTCAAACCTTAATGGAACAAAACTCTCACGTGGTGACTAAGAGGCTAAAACTACAATGCATGCCCTCCTTGCATATGGGTAATTCTATACGACCTCATATGGCATAATAAACTGTGATAACAGGTGAAGAAAAAACACGTGTTTTTGACATTCTAACTAGGCCATTCAACCACATTAGTGGTGTATCAAAATGGCTATATTTGTCTTAAAGGTTGCATGGCTGCCATGCCTCAAACTTACCATCTGTAGTCCGTCTGTGTGCGATGTCTCTTCCTCATTCAGGTGTCAAACATGAAGAAGGGGCAGGTGTATCGGTTCAACATCATCAACTGTGAGAAGAGCATCAGCCAGTTCAACTATGGCATGCAGCCAGTGCTGTACTCAGTGAGGGAGGCAGAGGAGGGAAGGCCGGGCTGGATCAGGGCTGGCACCAACATCACCTACTACAAGAACAACTTCTACTGTGACTGGAGCGAGGAAGAGAGGGATGGGGGAGGGAAGGGGAGGAGAAAAGGGAAGAGGGAGGTTGGGAAGGAGGGGAAGAGAAAGCAGTACCACACTCTGTCGTTCAGTCTGTCATTCCCACATAGTGGAGATCACTGCTACTTGGCATATCACTACCCTTACTCCTACTCTATGCTCCTGGTAAGTGACAGGTGGGGGACAATATGGAAGGCATAATGGTACAAAACTAGGGCGGCCTGCTAGGACTTGAACCAGCTGCAAGTCTGTTGGCCAAATTGTCAAGTAGACCTCTCTACAACAGCATAAAAGGAGTAAATTACATTTTGAATAGATGAGGGTGGTCCCCTGGTATTCGTTACCTCACGCGCGCCTGCGCGCAAGTATGTTTTCAGTCTGTGTGTCTGTCGTCTGCACTAAAATCGCCAGATCTCGATATAATAGGCCCCTGAGTAAGTTTTAAAGCAGCATAAACAATCATAAACGGCAAAATAACTGGTGTCACTAGCTGTGATTGGTCATTTTGGGCACGCCTATCAATCAACGCGTGCGCATGCGCTCAAATAATACACACAATACTACACAGGGTATGTGCTCTCCAGACCTCTAGTTATCTCTTGTAACCAACAGTCTGACTTGAGAGAGGAGGAAGAGAAGATTGATCACTCCACCATATTCTACAGCCACCAGACCCTCTGCAATACCCTCAGTGGAAACCCATGTCCTCTCCTCACAATCACTTCCCACCATCCACACTCAGACACCCAGGACCTAGGTACTGGCGCAAGTAAAGACATAATGCATAAAATAGTACTGTGGCCTGTGACCTGTGAAGACAAGCGAGTATACATATGTAAAGCTTTTGAGTATGTACATAGCTATACATGTACCTTGGCAGAAAAATGGTGTGGTGTTGTGCTTGTTTGACTGTCACTCTGCTCATCAATGTAACAGAGCTCAGACTCTTCTTACTCATTGTACATCCACAGAGACTGTCTCTGACATGTGTGTGGCAGGAGGAAAGGAGTATGTCGTTCTGTCGGCAAGGGTCCATCCTGGAGAGTCCAACTCCAGCTGGGTCATGAGAGGTGCATTATACATACATATATGTGATTTATCAGAGCGTGGGTAGACGCTCTATATAGGGATGACACGAGTGAAATCTCACGTGATCCGCGTACATATGAAGTAATGACCAACAGTTCTACTGATATCGTAATTCAACTGCATTGTACTGATGTACGTAATTTGTCCAGGGTTGTTGCAGTATCTGCTGAGTCCTGAGGCCCAGTCTCTAAGACAAAAGTTTGTGTTCAAAGTCATTCCCATGCTCAACCCTGACGGAGTTATCAACGGCAGGTGAGTTGTAAAGATACTTCACCTGCTGCGCACTGACTCTGTGTTACCTCAAACTATACGTAGGCTTACTGTGCTTCTATAACATGCAAGCCCACTAGATTGTCAAATTGTTATTCTACCACATATTCTATCCTATTGCCCAGTGCGTCCAAAAGTCACTAACCTGTGTGTATGTATGTGATATGAGTAATGAGTATACTCTCTGTTGTGTGTGTATAGTCACCGTTGTTCTCTGTGCGGAGTGGACCTGAACCGACAGTGGATCCAGCCTAACCCCTCCCTCCATCCCACCATCTACCACTCCAAGAACATTCTCTGTTGGCTCCTGGCTCAACAGACACCTCCCATTGTGAGCCCTCTCTATCTCTCTGTCTTATAGAGCCAAAGCAGACAACACAACTGCACACTACAGCATTGCCAATTTTGGTTCCAATTTGACTGTATAACATTCTATTACACTTGCTTCCTCTAGCTGCACAAAACTCTCGTGTACAGTGTACAGTACTATTGCCTACTACTGTATGTGATGTTATGCTGTTCTTTTGCTGCAAATAGAGACAAACAATTCCTTTAGGTAGCTACTAAGCAAAGTGTAAACCCTTGCCTTTTCCTGCTGTATAATAAAAAATTTACCATATCCATCCAAAAACGTATTTTGCAGGTTTATTGTGACTTCCACGGTCATTCGCAAAGGAAGAACATCTTCATGTATGGCTGTAAAAACAAGAACAGCTCTAAAATTGAACAGGTACACATCGGCCATCTACAGTGCCACTATAATTATAACCCATCTCTGTAGTTTAGCAAAATACGTATGTTGCACCACGTAATCATTATCATAAACAGGCAACTTGCAGCAACAAGTTGGCAGAAAAATTGAACAGCCTTTTAATAGCAGCAATATGTTACAAGAGACAAAAACTAAGCACACTTGTTATCATACACACGGCAACTTTGTGTTACTTGCAACATCTTTCTAGCAATAAACCTCGTACATGATGCTATTGCGTGTATCACTGCCACAGGTTTTGCCTGACATCCTGGAAAACATGGCCCCAGCCTTTTGTAAGAAGTCGTGTAGTTTTTCAGTGGAGAAGTCCAAGGAGGCCACCGCTCGTGTGGTGGTCTGGAGGAGACTGGGGATTCCCCTCAGCTACACCATGGAGAGCACCTACTGTGGAACCAACCAGGGCCCGTACAAGGTCTGTGGAATAGTCAGCATGCATTCAAGTGCATGCATAAAGTGTAAAGTGACTGTAGCTACACTCTGCAGGATCAGACATTCTGAGTATTGGTAGCAACACTGCCATCTGGTGGGGTTGATAGGCACATGAGATAAAGGCCTTAGCTTACATTACTGTACCAAGGGGTCTCCCACTATTTTCAGTGTCCAGACCCTAGAAATTTCCTTATAAGCTCATTTTGGTCAGTGGTCTACTAGGTTAAGAAATTCCGGGGCCAAGGTCAAGTTAGTCAGAATTTCCTTCCTTGCTTGACTCAGTCTTCACAATGACTGCCAGGCCCTCCACTGGTGCTGAGAAAGCTCTCCAGAAGATCAAAGACCAGGTCACCTGTGTGATATGTCTGGAGCCCTACAAAAAGCCAAAGCTGCTGAAGTGTGTTCATGCGTCATATGGACCCTCTTGAATTGTGCATTTTTTCTGCAACCCTGTAAAACTCTATGCTCTGGCATACCCTACAACTTCCTTTTGTTCTTTGGCCTGCCAAAAATGGGCCTCATTGACTGTAGCTAGTAGTATGTAGAGTGAGCTAGGTTGGAATTGACCAATCAGATTGCCCCTTGACAATAAAATTACTATTCATAGGCATTGGTAGCTACACTGCCATCTGGTGGGGTTGATAGGCACATGAGATAAAGGCCTTAGCTTACATTACTGTACCAAGGGGTCTCCCACTATTTTCAGTGCCCAGACCCTGGAAATATCCTTATAAGCTCATTTTGGTCAGTGGTCTACTGTGAATATTGGATAAGGGTAGTATAAATTCCAGGACCCAAGGTCAAGTTAGTCAGAATTTCCTTCAACTCAGTCTTCGCAATGACTACCAGGCCCTCCACTGGTGCTGAGAAAGCTCTCCAGAAGATCAAAGACCAGGTCACTTGTGTGATATGTCTGGAGCCTTACAAAAAGCCAAAGCTGCTGAAGTGTCTTCATGCGTCATGCGAGGCTTGCCTGCAGCGTCTGGTACATTGGGGACCAGAGGGACAGAGTGTCACGTGTCCACAATGTCGCCAGGACACTGCTTTACCTCTTGGAGTGCAGGGGCTTCAAGGTGCATTCTATGTCAATGCGATGCTTGATATTCAAGAGACCTTAAAGAACACAACTGTGAGTGATCGATGCCCTAACCACCCAACCAAGGAAGCAGATTTGTATTGCAATCAATGCGACCAACTTATGTGTAACCACTGCCTTGTTCCAGGTCACCGTTACCACAAGTATGATCTTTTGGCCAAATCATTTGCTAAGCTGCAGAAAGTACTTGCACACTATTCTAAGCCAATGGAAGAACAGATTGCTGCATTAGAAAAAGCTGTTGAGTCTGTTGGTACTCGGTGTTCAGCAGTCGTAGAACAAAAGACAGCTGTGGTGGCAGAGATCCGTGCTGCCATGGCACGCATGCGACAGGCTCTAGAAGAGAGGGAGATGCAGCTGGTGGGTCGAGCAGACCAGGTGGCAGATCAGAAACTGCGGGCCTTGACGGCACAACGCACAATGTTTGAACTGCAACTGGGCCAGCTAAGGAGTTCCCAGGAATTTGTGGATGTGTGCCAACGTACCTGCAGCCAGGGGGAGATGATGAGTATGAAGGATCAACTAGTGAAGCAAATGACTGACCTGACTGGAAGCTTCAAGCCTGAGTCATTGGTCCCCGCTGAGCAAGCTAACATGGGGTTTGCTCACAGCTTGCCTGAACCGATTAAGAGTTGCCAACGGTTTGGTATAGGTCTACTGCAATCCAGCATCCCGGAGAAATGCCAGGTTTCAGGTGAAGGCATCAAGCTAGCCATGAGAGGGCAAACTGTAGCCGTCACTGTAAAAGCTTTGAATAAGGGAGGAAAACCCCTGCTTTGCGCATGAAGACAGCTTTAGGGGTGAACTTATTCCTAGTGATGGGGGCAGTCCAGTCAGGGGGACTGTGAAGAAAAGAGGGCGCAAAATATCTACGACATCAGCTACCAGCCTCAGGTGACTGGAGAGCATGCGCTAAACATCGCAGTTGAAGACCATCCGATCTCGAACAGTCCTTTCCCTGTGACTGTCCTACCCAATTTCACTGCCACAGCCAAGATGATGCATGGCTTCAATGGGCCGTATGGTATGGCCATCAGGGAGGGAGATATGGTGGTAGCTGAATGTAGCGGTCGTTGTGTATCAATCGTCAATGAAAGAGGTGGTAAGAGATCGTTTGGTACTGGGGGCTCACGTCCTGGTCGGTTCAACAATCCTAAAGGCGTAGACTACAGACAATGGAGGGAAAATTTTAGTAACAGACAGTAGAGCCATTGTATTCATTGGTTGTCGTCCACTGGCACGCGCCTTCTAACGGTCGGTGACAAGAACAGTGGACCGCCTCAATTCAAGTATCCAGTCGGCATTAAAGTGCATCCGCTCACGCAGAAAGTGTATGTTGTTGAATTTGGCAACACAGAATTCAAGTTCTCAATTCTGACCTTACACATTCGCATATACTTTGGCAAGGAGGGCTCTGGGGTCGGGGAGTTTAAGCATCCGTATGACTTATCGACTGACTTGAAAGGCAACGTGTATGTTGCTGACGGTGACAACCACCGAATACAAGTCTTCACAGCTGACGGAGTATACTTGAGGCACTTTGGAGAGAGGGGGGAAGGGGAGGGCGAGCTGAACCGACCAAACACCGTTGCAGTTGACGAAAATCGTAATTTGGTGTACGTTGGTGAATGGGGGAATGGTCGTATATCGATATTTTCGCACTGATGGCGAGTTTATCAAGTCGTTCGGAGAGCGAGGAAATGGTGACGTCCAATTCGGGGGTCTCTTTCTTCTGGCAGTAGACGGGAAAGGAACTGTCTACGTATCTGACGCAAACAATGGTAGAATACAGATATTCAACTAACACAACTAAAACAGTATGCATTTTAGTCATACTATTGAACAGAAAATGCTATTGCACACAACTGCACTGTAATTCTTGTGAATTCCAAATATTGTGCACCAAGTTCCTGCCTATGAAATTTGTTTCAGAGCTTGGACAGTTACACGTTGGTATATTGTTCTCACAGAACAGATATGTGTAACTTTGTGCATGAGACACACACACATTGATGGGTGTACAACCACACAGGAAAAATATGTCGGGTAACTGTGGAATCTACTTACGAAGAGTCGCGTGGCATTCGGGTGTTATTCCAAACCCTTACTATTCACCATAACTTTGATAATGCAACTGCTGCTCTCTGGTTGGATAGCACACAACAGAGTGTGGGGTCCCCTAAAAGGGCCACACCCCCTCTGTAATGCTCCTGGCCACTTCCCAGCTAGCCACCCGACTTTCCTTGCATGTCCCCACCCATCAATTTACATACGTACTACATGGATGCAGAACTGTCTGTATTGCCAGGTTATGCCGGATTTGCACACACCTTTTTTAGGTGATTACAAATACACATGCATAAAATAGAACTACTCATGTGTTTGTTTGCCAAATTTGTGTGCACACGTTCTGTGTCATTTATTGTGTCAATTCATAATGTTTGAATGTGTATAGGGTAGGCAGATAACAACAGTTGACCTGGAGGAGATGGGACAATGTTTCTGTATGGCTCTGGCTCAGTTGAAGAGTTCCCTGTTGGAGCACCAGAGAGGGATGGCGGAGAGGAAGAGGGAGACGAGGAAGGGAAGGAGAGGTGGGAAAAAGATGAGGAGAAGGAGGAGGAAGAAGAAGACGAGGGAGAATCAAAACTCATCGTCCAGTGGCAGGTTCGTGTGCACAGACAATGGGAAGGGAACAACAGAAACGAAAAAATTAAGTGCAAACCCTCGGCACACTAGAAAAATATACACATGCGTGGTACCGCTAATTGATAGGCTCGACTATGTGTTGCCAATTTACTTTCTTGCTAGTCTAGTACTTCCTTCGATGTGAATGGTCGCCGAAGGTTAATGGAAGCACTTGAAAGTAATCTTCATCCTAGTTTTTTGACATTATTACGAAAGCAGAATGGACAATCTGTGTATATACCAAAAAATTATGATAATGGAAATCCAAAAGAGTTGTTGAGAGGCTTCTTACATATGCAAGAAACAATATTGGTCATGGGTTAAAAAAAGGAAACCATATGTTTTAATGTATCAGTAATGGGCAATCCGAAAGGGTTATGTTGAGAGGGTTCTACATATGCAATGGCCATGCATTAAAAAAAGATAGCTGAATGTCTTGCACCATTTAATCGATCGTTTTGGGCAAAAAAGAAAACTGCATGCTATTCTATTTCATCTTCTCCATGGATTATTATAGGCAAAAATCATACATTTTGAGGTTGAAAAAAATAAAAATGCCACCTACATCTCTCCAGACAGACGTCTATGGACGCAGTGCAATGCCAAACTGTACGCTGTCCTTGAGATGATGTGGCTCGGTGGCGTGGGATCAGTGGTAGATTTGTGGGTAAGGGGAGGAAAAGAGCTGTTCCCAGCCAAGGCTCTGTGACACCTGTCAGTTTCAGTGCGGGTCCGGATTCGAACCGGCACCTTGTGGACAGTCCCCACGTCTCTAACCACTTAGCCACTTGGGCTGGCCACAAGAGCTGATGAAAAAACGTTCCTCTTATATCTTATATCAACACTCATATTACATAAATATAAAAAGAGCCCTTGACGTGGATCGGGGGATCGAACTGCTGATCTCACAGTCATGGGTGTGGGTCCTTAACCATCAGGCCACACCCAATACTTGGGAGGGGCAGGTACAATATAGCAATTTGTTTCTCCCTGAGTCACTAAAGTGCAAACCCTCGGTGTACTAGAAACGTTCATGCCTAAGTACACGCATGCATGGTACTGCTAATCGATGGGCTGTGCTATTTTCACTGAGAGTCTGTCATTGGGCTGGCTACACTACTAGATAGCATACGAGTCAATACCCTCCAAGGTATGCAGGGCAAACGGATCAGATCGAGTTAAGCCTGTGAGAATTTGCATATTGGCTTTTTTGGTTATCACGTCATAACTCTCGAACGCAGTACTTTACGAAATCTGCCAAATTTTAAATAGAGCCAGTGTAGCTAACACTGAAGCTTTTTGTATCGCTCTTTTGTTGTCTCGTTGCGTGTGGTGGCAGAAAACGTGGTAACAGACGGACAGACACACACGTGAACCAAGCACCGTAACCCTCGCTGCACATGCGTGCCGAGGCTTGATAATCCATGTGGTAATAATTCATTGCAGCAGTGCATTTGAGCATTAGTAACAGTGCTGTATACCTTATTGTACTGTAGTGGTTCGCTGACTGAGAGGGAGAGCTCAGAGGAGACATGTGGCAGAGATGATCACAGCAGCTAGTATCTCAACCACTTTCCTGAAGATGAACTGTGGGCACTATAGCTGCATCTGACACCTGGGGCTTTCTTCCTCTGTCCACCATATCTGTGTAATACTATATAATAATATACTGAGTAATACGTTAATGTGCCAAAGGTATGTTACTCTGATATAGTGGTGCACATCTCATCTTTGCCTTCTTGTTAGTTGAGCACACTGTATGGTATTTGCCGTTCTTTGTATTATAATTCTATCTTATTCTCTAATATGTGTTGTAAGGGAGGTTGGGACACTGGGTGTGTAGGGGGTTGGGCCCATAAAGACTCTTTAACTACCGCCCCGGTTCTCAGGCTTGGCACTGTCCTGCTCTTATTTCTGTTATATGTATTGTCTGATATTTCTTTTCTTTTTTTCTTACAGTGTATATGTTGTGTGCGTTATTTAGAGTAATCGCTCGTTTTTTGTATCTAAGTTGCATCGTCGTACTGCGTAAGTTTCGGAGTTTTTATATTTATCTATGAGTCTATTATTTATGTGTGGGGTGGTTTAAGGGTTCTTTCTTTTCTCTGATATTATTCTTTAGCTAGTATGCATGCATGTTTTTCATCACCGCTAGGAGCACTACGTATTAATACCACTCATCCCTGGCCTAATTTTACAATGCCAGTGCATGTCACATTTGCATGTTGTGAATGCTCATCTTGTGGGTTAGATGGCCTGGTAGCTGGATAATGGCCATTTGAAGACACAACTAGAAGACTAGGTAGAGTCGCTCTCCTCCCCAATTGTCTCCCCCATCCTTCTCGTCGTGCCCTCTTATGTGCCTGGCTATGAAACAGGGTCTGTGCTGGAATGTACGTGGCTCATCTGTGTAAAGTGGTGTAAGTTAGAGTAGCCTCATGCTGTGTAATTTTGCTCGAATCTGATGAGGCTTCCCACTGACTACATACTATGAGTGTATGCAGGTACGATACATGTGCTCTACCTTTACACAAGATGACGTGGTTATTGTATTACCTGATCTGATGTTTTCCTTGTGTCTCTAACTCATCATTATAAGTTGGCTCATAGACATTTTCCCACAACATGTGTAGGAGGAATTCAGCTGGAACTCATGAAGTTTGCGTCACTTGCCTCACGTATGAGATCCCTGGGTGGAGCAGCTATTTCCCTCACTCCACACACTTCCTGGATAACTTCTCCCGGTAGCCTGCCTCAGGAATTATGCCTCACTCCAACAAAAGGGCATTTGCGTACGCAGGGATATTATTGTGCTGGCCAGTGCTTAGTGGCTGTCAACCAGTTAGTGACGCAAAGGACGGTCACTCAATGTGACACATGCTGCATAAATCATGTGTGCTATGGGCTATGGCGCAAAATTTTGTGCCTGGTCATCAGTCATTAGTATCCACATCAATGAAAGGCCATGCTCTATTATTCTATACCAGCACGTAGTTCACTACAGCACTGCAGATGATTACACGTGCAGGCCGGCCAGTGAGTGTGGGGTGTAGAGTGTTTCTCCTTCTGCATGGGCTTTAGGTTCACGCCAGGGGCAGTGTGAGATCTGCTGATCCACCAACTCGCCCTCCCATATATGCGCATCTATAGTATAAATAACTCGGTGGTGGTGACTCTGCATCACGAGGTGCAGTTTCCTCGCATGCTTGCGACAGGTGAGATCAGCAGCCAGACCCTACCAAACAACAGCCCACCACGCCTACTCCCCTACTGTCCTCTACAGTTCCAATGACAACGGCTGTTATGGCTGCACGCCTCCTACACCCACTGCCACCTCCTGACATCATTCCGTCAGCCCGGCGGTGAAATCACACAGTGCGATACGCCGCGCAGCTCTACCGGCAATATAGAGTGTGTAGAATGCTAGAGTAACATTGCAATACATCCTTCCAGATTTCTACAGTTGCGAACTGTAGTGATTTGCGTATGGGAGCTGTTTATTGCACCTGATATTAACAGGTATTGGTAACCACATTTTGGACCAAATGATGGATTGGCAAGTGGCACAGTAGAATCAAATCAAGCTCTCCTTGTGTGTTGCTCACAAACATTGATCACCATCATAAGTTAAGGTGGGTTGGGTTCTTAAGGTTATGCGGATGCACTTGCTGCTGTTTGTAATGGGTTTAGCTCGCAAGGAGATGAACCTCTACCATTGCATAGAGATTCATAATTTTCAGAGGAGTCCTGGTTCACTCTTTTCATTAAGAGGTCCCACTCCTCACTGTGGGGAATGTTTATTCCTGGCTTTCCCTGTAGTGGTAATTGCTTCCAGGATGCCTAACCTTAGATCATGGAGCCCATTCAACA